CAGTAATCCTGCAAGGCTGATAGAAAGGGAAGATGTCCACACAATTTAATTTCCCAGTCTTGCTAGTTCAAGTAAAAGAGCATAATTACTGCATGTCAAAAGCTGCCAGAACCAGCTCCAGCAAGGATTTAGTGTCATCACTAATGCTTGCATGTGAGGGGGGTGAAGATTGTGGCTACATTAACATTAAAAAAAACCTGACCAAACAAGCAGAACTAGTCCTGCGCAGAAAACGACACTGCCAGTGATTTAGCAGAGTAGCTGCATTGCAGCTAGCAGTCATCTACATGTAGAAAAAAAACTAAAGAAAATTAAGGGAAATGCAATGAAATACTGCAGTAAAATACTGAGAAAGATGGATGCATGGGACTGTACCAGCGACTATGTGAAAGGATCAGAAGCCATGTGTGCATGTAGCTGAGAGCAGACTTGAACTTCTGATTCATCAGAGTTTAATTTTCTCCATGAAAATGACTGCACAGAAAATATAACTTCAAAGTCATTCTGGTTTTTAATATGGATTTTGTACTTTTACAGCCTTTGTAATGGACAGTGCCAGGCAATAGCTGAGGCTGGGAACAGATCGAAACCATAGATCTAACTTGCTTAAGCAAAACTATGTGTTGAGGTAGAAGAGGTAAAGAAAGGCATAGTGTTGGAAATGCATCAATGATGGACCACCACGGAACTAGCTTTAAAGGGCTACAGAATCTATCCCTGCTCTGACTTTAATGGAGCCACATTGATTTTCAGCTGCTGGGAGACCTGGCTTCAGTAGCCTTCAGTCGAACAGCCTTCATTCACACCACCTGGGAGCCTGACCCAGTTTGCAACAGACTAATTGCACAATAGGCTTATTATTTATACATCATTCCCAGCGTATATGGTGTTTCACAGACAGATGACATTGATCAGTCTCTGCCTGAAGGGCCTCCCACATTTTTATATCATGGTTTCAGAACATTCCCACAAAGACGATCTCCAGTCCCATATATCCCCTCATATACAGAGCACAATAGGGATCTTTATGACGAAGCTCTACCAGGGACGTTTGGAGTTACAGCCAGAATACCAGTGTAACTGCTTTGTTCTGTGAGTACCTGCCTTGAAGCAATAGTATTTAAAGTTGGATTATAGCCTCTTTCTTCTGGACTTAGTACTGACCATCTCCCACATTTGTAAGCTGTTAACCCATAGAAGCCTGTTGACATATACGAAAATCTTCACTCATTTTCCTCTTGAGATTGGGAAAGAAGCAGCCTTTCATTTGAAAACTCTTCTCCTAGCAAGTAAGACAAAGCTCTTTTTTTCTTCTTCCAGGACAACTTATCTTTTCCCCCTCATTAATCAGTTTCTGGAAAACCAAGCCTACCCCTCAGTTTAGTTTTGACAACAGCTTGATATTGCTCTGTCCTTAAATGCCCCGTTTGCTGCCTTTCTCACTCTGCTGAAAGACTTTGCACTCTACATTTTCAATTGTTTCAGCAATTACAAAGCGTTGTTCCTTGTATTTAGAACACAGCAACAAAGGTTAAAAATAAGCCTCTTCGTCGTCATTAAATACTAAGTAAAGGATACTTGCAGTAATAGCATATTTCAGAGCAAAGGAGACAAAAAGGAGTGTATCAACTAAGCACTGTTTTATTTGCCTGCCAACCTTTTGGGTCTTGGCCTTACAGACCTTAGAGGACCAGTTCTGTGTTTTCTTGAGACTTCCCAACATTGGGGGCTGGAAGGAATAAGGGAATGGAAGGAAGGGAAAGGAACATCTTCAGTCAAGGACCTGTAATTGTAGTTCAGAATAAAGCCAGGCCACCAACAATTTTGAGAGTTATTCATTAACACTCACACCAGTGGGTATTAAAGGAAATGGTATAATGTGTCATAGAGAGCTTGCAACATGGAGAGCTTGGTAGGATACAGTATTTTACTAAAACTATCAGTGGTGGTGATTTATGAGAAAAAGTAAGAGAACTCCTACTCTTGGAGCAAGCATGTAGGGGCTCTGTGGGTGTGTCAGGTGTGCCACAAATTGGGCAAAAAAAAAGTTTCAATGATGTTTGAAATGCTTGAATCGCTGGGTACTTCATTTATCAACAGTGTTTTACTACAGCAATGCAGGCTCCATCAATGCCCTGTAGGAACACAGTTGAGAAAATGTCAGACAACCAATGTCTAGAAAGACTAGGACTTTCCTCATACAAGAGAGATATGGGGCTACTAGAGAGAGTCCAGCAAAGGACCTCTAAGATGAGCAGGGACTGGACCATCTCTGCTGTGAGGAAAGGCTGAAAAGAGCTGGGACTGTATAGCCTAAAGAAGGGAAGATTGCATCAACATGTACAAATATATAAAGGCAGGGTGTAAAGAAGACAAAGCCCAAAATCTAATAAAAGTTATCTTCTCTCCCTATACACCCTAGCATACACCCTTAAACTTTCATGATTAAAACATTACATCTAGTAATACACAAACCACCTCTGCTATTCCTCTGTTAAACAACTGTGACATTTCTGCATAGTTACAATCATAATCTTCTACATGCAGGGTGACTAATCAGTAGGACCTGGGATTTCTTTGGATCAAAGTGCACTACAAATATATTATCATTACTGGACAAGCTTTCTTTCCCTCTTGGCCTCTAGCATTTTGTTGAAATTAAGTGTCAGAAGAATAAGGCATCATGACTGTCACTTACTTATATACGCCTTGTCTCCAGCCCTGAATAATTTACAAAATAATAATAATTTTTTTTTTAAATCTTTATCTTGTTTCAAGACATTTCACTGCAAAAAGATGACATTAAGAACACCCAGAGCAGGACAACTAAAAAGCAGTTGAAGAAAGCAACTCTGTGGTCAAACTGAATCACGAATTGTCCCCTGAAGTCAAGAGTTAACCCTGTCTGCCTCAGTATTTAATTAGGAAAACATTTCCAAATGTATTCTGCTATGTATTTACCCTCTCACAGTTGGCCCAAGGCTGTTAGCCAATAAATTCAGTTCTGCTGCCCAAAAGAGGAGGAGCTGAGTCCAGGACTCTCATGCCACTGGAATGGGGAGATAGAAGGAAGGGGAAAGAAGGCAGAGAAAGCGAAAGGAACCCTGGAGAAAACCTAGCTTTCTGCTTTTGTCACTACCAGAGAATTAGGGAGACAATAGAAAAGAATGCAGAAAACAGAAGAAACTGCTGCTACAGAGCCCAGCAGGCAGGAGGACAGTAGCGCTTATGACTGCTCATCTTGCCAATTGCTTACTAAGCCTATAAGCAACCCTGCTGCTAAATCCCAAGCTGTGTAGCATCCTTCTTTCTTCCCCTTTGGACAAACCTTGATGCAATCAAATTACACTATTTGCATGTTTGTTTTTTGAGTCCTGAGGTAATTTTGCATCCACTAGATCACGCTTCCTTTCCCCAGCCTTTCACAGGACCATCAGCTGACGTTAAGGTATGTCAAGGGGGGAAACCGAACTTTTGAAGTGCTCCCTGTAAGCAGCTCCACTGTGGCTCTGGACTACAGGCACTTCTGCCACAAGCATCCGTCCCCTGCAGGGTGGCCGGCCCCAGGCCGCCTGTGGGCCTGTGCGCAAGCGGCCCAAGCCGAGCCCATGCACTGTCAGGTGAAACCGCACGGACGAGGCAGCCTGGCGGTGAAGGCCAGCGGCTGCCAGCGGCCTGGGGGACAGCCAGCCCCGGCTGCTCACGCCACCGCCGGGCACGGCGCCACAGCCCGGCGCGAAGTCACCTCCCCACCCTCTCCAACGCGACGCATGCGCAACTGTGACGGACGCCGACGTTGAGGAAGTGACGCATACGCGAGCGGTGAGTGGCAGTGCGCGGGTGCTGTGCGCTGCGCATGCGCCGTGCGCAGCGGCGGTGAGGCGTCCCGGCTGCCGAGCAGCGAGGTGAGTCCCGCGCCGGGACCGGCGGTCCCGTGCGCCGCTCCCGCGCCTCCTCTTCTCCCCCCGCGCCCCCCGCGTGGGGAGGCGGCGTCCCACGAAGCCCCTCGCGTTTCCATCCCGTCTTTCCATCCTTGTCGCCAGCCGTGAGGGACAGCCTTCGGCCGGCGGTCCTGTCCCGGCCCCGGGCGTGCTCGCAGAGAGAGGTGGTGAAGCACAGGAACTTGGGGACCGGTGTAGGCGGGGGGGTGGATGGGGCCCGGGGTCCCTGGAGGAGAACTGGCCGGTGCGCGGGGTTGTCATGGTAACCGTTGCTTGAACGCAGGGCCAAACCCCTTGCCTGCGCGTTCGGAGCTGATGGAAGAAAACTGTGAGCTGGGACTGAGATGCACGGGCTGCCATGCTAGGAGAGGTTGCTGATGAAGGCCACCTGCCCTATTAATGTCTTCTTGCAAGTTAATAACACTTGTTTCTCCCCGAAGTTGATAAAAAGTACATCCTTTCAGAAGACACTCTCACCCTGAAACCTCCAAACAATACCAGCTCCAGGCTTGCCTTGGTAAGTCAGTCCAGTGTTAATTTCCTATCAGCTAAGATGCTTCGTGTTCTGCTTCAAAGCTGAATGGTCAAACTAAAGCCTATAGCCAACTGTTATTATTAGTGCTTTCACTGGCATATCTTATCCTGTTTCAAAAACTTGTATTTTTTGGTCTGGGATATGTTAAGTTGCATATGTTTTTGTTATGTCATAGTCTTGTGGAGCATGACCATTTGCACAGAAGACTGAGTTCACTCTCTGGCAAGGAGAGTAATTTTTACAGGTTGTTTTATTTGTTTTGATATCAGCGTCTTCCAGGAGTATTCTATATAGTTGTCTTTAAGAAGTTTTGGCTGCTTTTTCCTTTTGTTTCTGGGAGAAGCCTTTGGGGGGAGGAGTCATGGAGCAGTAGACTACTAGGTGTTTTGAAACAAGACTTTCTCATAAAGAAACATACTCATTGTTTTGCTTACTTTTGTTTGGGCACAATCTTCATGAGGAACTTTGTGTGTGTGAATGTTCGTGTGATAATGTGGTTCTTCTTTTTTGCCTTTGAGCAGAGGATGCCAACAGACAACAGCCAACTGCCAGGCAGTATCCAAGAACAAGACCCTGTTACTACTTCAAGCAATAATTGCCTGCATAATGCTGAGGAATTGGGAATTGAACAAGAAAATGGCATTTGTAACAGTGACCTGGGTAATAGTATTAGAGTTCCCAACTCTGCCAGCCAGTCATCCACTACCATGGCTGTTCCTTTGGAGGTGCCCAGAAGAGGACAACCCCTTTTACAGATCAACAGGCAGCATATTCAGTCCATCTCATATAGTGCACAGGCTGCTGAGCTCAAAGGTTTAGGAGTTGATGTCTATGACCAGGATGTATTGGAGCAAGGAGTTCTTCAGCAAGTAGATAATGCAATTAATGAAGCTAATAAAGCAACAAAAATAGCTGATGCAGAGAAAGAATATCGGTCAGTGCTGGATGACTTAAGGTAAATTATGTCCTATCTTACTGTTCCTTTCTGTTACTGACTATCTAATGAGGCTCAGTGTCTCATGTTTTTAAAAGTTGGAGATGAAAAGATGTTTTGAAAGCACTAGATCACATGTACTCTTCTGAGTCACCCACCTTTTAAAAAAGGAGAAAATATTTTTCACGTCAGAGCAATGCTTCATTGCTCTTATTTGACTAATTCAGTCACGCATCAAGGCAGTAGAGGACAGCATATCTCCTTTTTCTGCTTTGTCTCCTACCTTACCAAGATGCATGTCTGTTTTCTCGGTGGCAGAGAACTGCATTATACTCTTATTCAAAGTTCTAGTTAGAGAAAGTGCCACTTCTTCAGTTCTGTATGCTTCATGGGGTTATCTGCTTCTGGGTATGTGGTTTCTGTAACTTGAATGACTCCATATCGTAAGTGTACTACAATGAAAATAACCTTATCTCAAGTGCTTAAAACACCTTAAAAAAAAAAATCAAATGCTCAGTTAACATGGTATATTGATAGTACAAGACTTTGAGGAATAGGAGCCACTAATCTTTTGGGTTTTGGTCTTAGATCTCCCTTTCTGTTTCTAGTCTCATTGTGGAGTTACTGTGTGAACTACTGCAGGTAAATAATTCTACCTGTGCAACTTTAATGTGTTGCATTAAAGTTGTTTTTTAATGCTCAAGAGTGCTGTAGGCCTCCGTTACCTATGTGAACTGTCACATAGCTCTGTTGTTATGCATATACTTAATTTTATGCACTTCATTAATTTTCCAGTTTGGGTGTGGAAATGTGAAATTAAGTAAGTTTGCAAAACTGGAACCTAATTTCAGATGTTATGTAGCAGAAGGACATAATGAGTAAGATGGTCATTCAGAGGAAGAATGGAGCAGTGTAACAATTGCAGTTAGATTATGTAGTTATTGAAAGAGTGGTGCATGGCACTGTCAATTAGTTGATGTTTTCTTGTTTTTCTTCAAGAAGCATCCTATGGTTTTTCTTCATCTCTATTTTCACTTTCTACTTAAAGTTGTAAAATGAGATTTACATGAGGGGATGCAAATGGTTTATGCAGACCTGTAGAACCTCGTCTGTATATGCTGTAATGTGCAAGTCTGAAAGTTGATTTTGGAGCAAATTAGCAGAGACATAGCTGGCTTGTTGAGCAGAGGGACTAACAACTTAAAGACACATGAGTACAGCGTGATAGAGTTGGTTTAAGTCCTGCAACATGGTGAATGCATGACTAGAGGTAAAATCAGGCAAGAAGTGGCTTTTGAGTAGTTGGCACAGAGTTCGTGGTAGAAGTTGCATGAGTCTACAATATACACACAAATTTAAGCAGAAGAAGGAGCATAAAAAAAGGTTAAAGTTAAATCCTGTTTAAGTCATGCAGTCCTGTTAAATAAAGCTTTGTGGAAGAGGACAGTAGCGGTATGTATGAAGAGACCCTAGGCCAGGGAAGCAAGAGCCAAAAGGTAGGAGACGTGCAAGAGGATGGTATACTTCAAAGCAACAAAACAGAAGTCTGAGAAAGGGGATGGCATGGTTCAAAAGTGTTGAAAGAGAATGGAGAAGTGAAGATGGCAGTGACAGCTGGGGAGCTGGTAGAATATGTCTCCTAGGAGAATAGTGGTAGAATCCAGATTTGAGCTGGAGAGAAATGTGGCCCAACAACTTCCTCCCTAACAATTAAGGAGCCTTATGTAGTGCTTTTCTTTGCATATGAGGGGAATAATGGCTGTTTTGCAGGTGTTGCAAAGAGTTTTCTTTGACATTTTTCATAATGCTTTGAGATGCTAATTTGTGTATCCTTATGAAATATTCTGCTATTGGAATCAAGAAACCTAGATTTGTTGCTTCTGATGGTGGGACACTGCCTCCTTTCTTGCAAACAAATTCCACAGCAGAAACAGATGATATTAGGTTATAGTACGTGGTTCAACCTGAATTTCATATTGTATAGGGAAACAGGAAAAATGGTAGTGCATGTCTAAGGAAAGTTTAATGTTGATGTGCTGTTAATTCTTTGAGCTAGTCTGTCTTCCTGAAACTGTATTTGTATCTTGTAATCTATTCTTTCTGTAAAGGAGACATTGTAAAGGTAAAAGAAATAGGCTTCCTTATATATTGGCATCAAACTATTAAAATAGTTTTAGAAAATGGAAACATGGGATTTCCAATTTAGATTTGTTTTGCATTTTGTTTACCTTGAATAATAAAAGCAACCACTATTGCTTGCTTATTATCATCGTCAGGCTTGTAACTTTTGAGTACTAAATATTGCAGTGGTTTGTTCAGTTTCCTTGCCTCTGGAATTTTAGTATTAGCAAAATTTTGTTTAAAAATATTTTACGATGTACAACTTTTTAAAGTGTTTAGTATTTCCAGTGTTGTTTAAATATAAAATGCTTATTTAGGAAATTACCTTTAGACCTTTTTAAATCTTACCGTAAATCTCCTGAAATTTCTAAATTGTCTGAATCAAGAATGTGCTATTTTTCTTTCTAGAGTTGACTAGTACATTGCAATCTTCTTGTTTTTTCAGATCATGTACAACATCTCTGAAACAAGTAAATAAAATTATTGAGCAACTTTCACCTCAAGCTGCTGACAACAAAGATATAAACAGAAAACTAGATTCTGTAAAACGGCAAAAATATAACAAGGTGATTGGATTACATTAATTTCCTGCTGGCAATACTTAGCTTGTACTTTGGCTTAAGGTTTGGATTATGTGATATAATTCTTGTTTAATTACATGGTTCAGAGTCAGTCTACAATTGCTGTTCCTTCCCTTTTAAATGGTTTAATTTTCTACCAAAAAATGTATATAACTAATTTCAAGATGTGAAAGTGAGAGCTGATTTTTTTTTTTTTTTAATCATTATAAGTTTCAAAACAAGCTGTAAAACTGAAGTTCCAGGACCAGCTTGGAAGACTGAAATGTATATAACTAATTTCAAGATGTGAAAGTGAGAGCTGATTATTTTTTTTTTTAATCATTATAAGTTTCAAAACAAGCTGTAAAACTGAAGTTCCAGGACCAGCTTGGAAGACTGATTTGCATTAATTTAATTAAATCCCTACCAGTAGTATTTGGAGAATTAGCAAAGCATTGTTAGGGCATGATTCAATAGATTACTTAAATCTCAGCTCTCCTGGTCTTCATTCCCTACCTTCCTTTCCTTCATTCTCTTTCATTGCCTGTATGTTTCTTGTACCAGTACACATCGTTCCTTTTTGTGAGCCATTTTAACTCATTGATTTGGCAGAAACTGCTCCAGATTTTTTCTGCCAGAGGAGTAAATTAAAGGAGCTTGTAGAGCAGTCTAGCAGGCATCAGGGTAATGTAAGCAATAGACCTATACAGCTGTGAATACGAAGAAGGAGATTTGAGAAAAGGGAAACTTCTTCTGGTCAGGAATGTAGCACTTTGATCAGCTCACCATCTGATGGAAATTCATCCTAATAATGATAAACCTGACTGAAAATCTTATTGTTCTTTGCCCTCAGACACTTCTTCCCAGTCTCAGGTCATTTGCCACTGACTCATTCAGTTGTTTGGTTTTTAACTTTGATCATTTCAGCAACTTGGATAACACTGTGCTCCCAATTCGGCCAATTAAGAGAGAGAAAGTGAGGGGGACAGTACTGAACAGTGGCACAGGACTAGGAGCAGGTAGCTGGAAGTAGTAGGAAGAAATGCATTAAACCAGACTTACCGCTGAAGAGTGATCATGTAATTGGACACTGTATTTTGCTTGTTTTGATATTACTTGAAGTAGTTTATGCAAGTGTTAGTTGTGGAGGAAGTTCAAACCTCATTGTGAGTTCATTGTTAGCCATCTCTAACAGTCCTTGAAGTGTAAGAGTAAATCCCTGTATGAAAACTATAATAATCTGTAAAAGTGGTTAGTAACCTCAAGAGTGTTTTGGAGGCAGGCAGTGTATTTAAAGCTGGTCTTGAGCTACTTTTTGCATGGAGAAGTGCCTTTTAGTACTCTTCCTTTTGTTTTATTTAAAAAAAAAAAAAAAGGTTAAAGAAGACCGAATTCTTCTGTTATTGAGACAAATGTGAAATTAATGACTGGTACAAGACAGCTATTTCCTTAGAGCTGTCATACAGGGAGTGTTTTATGATATAAAGTACTCTGGTAGCAAGGATAATCGTGCATGCACGGGAGATAATATATTGTACCGTGCATGAATATACTTACCCTTTGTGGTTTGAAAAGTGCTACATGACAACATGGGCAGGGTAGTGAACCATTCTTCACCAAAAAAAAAAAAAAAAAAATTGGCTTATTTTGCCATGAACTTGATTTTTACTGAAGTATGTGCCTCTCTAGGTAAGGAAATCTTTCCAAAGAATGGAGTTACAAATGTTCAAAGTTACATTGCCTGTGTCTTTGTTTTACTGGTTGGAATTTCTTGTTTCATAAATGAAAGTTAGCAACACCAAAGAATCACATCATCACCAGTAAATATACAGTTGAGGATACTACAATCAGATAAAAGGTGTAATAGAAGAGCTAGCTATGAATTATTTTCATAGCAGTAATAAACTATACTTGTTATAGCATCTGTAATATTGATTTTTTTCACTTATTTTTTTGAAGTCATTTCACTTGTAGTTGTTGCTGCTAAATTAGCTGTGACCACTCCTAAACTGTGTACAAACATATATTAGGATGGTGAACTGATATACAATTCCAGTTTCTTTCTAACAAAACATTCCAAAACTTCTGGGATGATAAATAAATCTCATTAAATCTTGTAGCTGTTTTTAGTGGCTTATTAACCATTAACCTAATCTTGCAAGTCATGAACAAGTCTTTTGGTGTTCTCTGTGCATCTCACTAATCCACTTCTGGGCTTCCTTCACTAGAATCAACACATTCATAAAATGACCTCAAAAGAAGTACATAAAAGTGCATAATGTGCACGTGAAACTTGTGTGTATAAACAATCTGATCTTACTGTATGCATATTGTAAGATGGTTGTACACATGAAATTGTGTGTGTTCTGTGGGTTGGAGCCCTGCAGATACTGTGGTGACGCTTTTTTGTTTCAAATGCAATACTGTGAACATTTGAATATGAGATTCTGGTGGAAAATACTGCAAATGTAGTAATTTGAGTCTTTTTTTAAAAGGATAGCAAGTTTATGAGCCAGAGTAAAAATTAAATTGTGTATCTATCTACTTGTCATTCAAGGAGCAACAGCTAAAGAAGATCAAAGCAAAACAAAAGCGTCTGCAAGCAATTCTTGGTGGAACAGAGATTCTTGATAAAGTAAATGAGATTGAGTTCGAGGAAGATGAAGGTATGGGAGAAGGCTGAAAGTTCTGTTCTACTTTGATGTAATGCCTTTTTTTGTTTGAAGCTAGTTTGCAAGATCTTTGCCAATAAGGAAATAAATTTCAGTGGTTTGCTTTCAAAGAGAGAGTTAAGAACACTTATTCTCTGCACCTGCAGAATTGCAGATCTTGGCATATTCATGTGGGAAGTTTTAAAAAATGGATGTTAATCCGTGTTCAGCTCAGTAGGGATGGCTGAGGCACATTAGAGTATTGGGCTTAATAAATTGGAAATCCTAACGTTTTTCACAGCTAATTTGATAAAGATGACTAACATCATGATTGAATTACATTTTATATGCTGGATGCTATCAGTCAGCGTTAACAAAATTGTTTTTTCTTACTGTTGGGAAGTATCACTAGAAGTGGAAGGGGGAAGTGCTTCTCTTTTTCAGGCTGCACTGTGATTTAAAAAAAATAAAAATAAGGCTTCTTCCAAAGCAGGATATTTGTTCTCTGTGTTTCACTAGGTGTTCTTTCTCACTGCTGTGTTCAAACTGAGCTTGGATTTTGTAACTCCAGCTTGGCTGTATCTTGGCCACAATCACTAATTTGCAGTATTCGGCAGGGCAAGCTTGGACCCCATTGACGTCTGCGCATCGTCTTTGTGCTACATTGTTGTTTGCAGAGGTGTAAACTCTTTGTGCTATTTGTCCGTTGCAGATGTGGCTGGAATGGATTCCAGATTTCACAGAGCTCTCCTGATTCAACAAAACTTACAGCGAGTCAAAACCTTAGTAAACTTTTCTTAGTAGAAAAGCATCTTTAATCCTTTTTTTTTTTTTTAATGGGTTCATGCAGTAAAACTCAGTGTGATGAAATGAAATTAAGAAGTGAATGGAGCCCAAAACAGAAGAAATGGAGTTCAGCAGTTCCAGTAGTTAGAGAAACTGAGGGAGTGGAGAGGGAGGAGTTTCATGCCTGATGCATCATTGTTACTCGTTAAACATGTTTTGGTGATAAATACAATGCTTTAAATGGGACCGTATAGAGTAGCATGCCATGGTGGCAATTCTGGTACAGCTATTTTGAAATTTTGGACCCTAATAATATATTTCAGGCTGGAATTCCCCTTCAGCTTCCTGAATTCAAGAACTTTTCCCTCTCTTTGGTTTCAAACACCAATTATAGTTTGTGTTAATATGTGCAGTAATTGCGTATGCAGTTTAACTGAAATGCTCAGCCAGCCAATCTGAAAGTCATAATCCTAATATTAGTATAATCCTAATATTAGTATTGTAGAATAGGAAAATGTTTTCTTTGTTTTGAAGCATGTGGGAAGACAGTCTTTTATGTGTTTTGTAAGATTTGTGTCTGTCCTGGTATGGTAATGGAAATGTCAAATTTCAAGCTTATGAGTAGAACTGAAAAATCAATAATAAAATAGAAATGGATGATGTTGCTGCATATGGGAATGCTGTGGTTTCTTGCACTGACCATGGTGACACAGGTTGAACTGACAAGAAATGGATGATGTTGCTGCATATGGGAATGCTGTGGTTTCTTGCACTGACCATGGTGACACAGGTTGAACTGACACCATAGGGAGCACATTAGAGTTCATGTGCCATGGAGGACTGTAATTTTATGGTAGTTCTTGCTGCTGTGTGTTGTTTCAGAAGTATTTGCATTTTGATAGTATGTGTAATGTTTCCTATGTAAAGTTTGAGAAGTAGTTTGAAGTAATAGTTACAGTCTGACTTTTTTGGCCTTCTGTTTTGTTGGGTCTTGTCTTTTTTGAACTTCAAGTATTATGTGTGACAATAATTTGGACTTTTAATTTGTATATAAAAACTGAACTGAATGCGTATAAAGCCGGGGGGGGCGGGACGAGACCAAAACACCCTTGTTCCTGTGTTTGAGTTCTTCAGAAGGTGTTAAAGGCATGATGCATGTTCTGATTCTTGTTGTAGAACCTGGTCCATCGTGTCTTGGCAGTATGCTTATGCCTGTTCAGGAAACAGAGTGGGAAGAGCTTATTCGTACTGGCCAGATGACTCCATTTGGAACTAAAATACCTCAGAAGCCAGAGAGGAAGACACGACGGTTAATGCTAAATGAAGCATCTGATTTTGAGAGGTACTTAGCAGACCAAGCTAAGCTGGCATCTGAAAGAAAGAAGTTATGCCTTCGCAAAGGAGCAAAGAAGAAAGCACAGGCCAAAACCATTCAGTGCGTAGCTCCCACATCTACTACAAAGGAAAAAAGGGGTAAAGCCCTGTCAAAAACAGATAAGCGCTTAAAAAAGCACATGAGAAAACTTCAGAAGCATGCCCTTCAGATTCAATCAAAGGCAGAGATTCCAAAAGAAAAGAAGTATCTTGAGGCCAAGAAGTTCAGGCGTGAACGGGAGGATGATAGTGGAGAGTCTGAGTATGTACCTGATGAGGAGCTCTTTGATCCAGAAGCATCAGAAGAGGAGGAAGAGCAGGCATCTTCCCATGCTGAGAATGATTCTGATTATGAACTCAGGAATGTGTCAATAAAAAGAAAAAACTTGGTTAAGAGAGATTTTAAAGAAGCTGAAGATGATGCTGACTTCTTTCCAAGCTCTGAGGAAGAAGAGCATACACTGGGGAAGCGCAAAGTAAAGAGATGGAGAGATGATGGAGATGAAGACTATTATAAACAGAGACTAAGGTTAGTCCTAGACATTTTTATTAGTAACATTAACAAATTATGTTGAACATGCAAAGGGCTATGTCTGTAATACAGTGCTAGGAATTGAAGTAAGGAAAACGAGGCAGTCAGAATGATCATAGCCTTCCAAGAGGAATCAGACATACCGCTTAATTACAAGGACTTTGCTGTTAGATTTTTCTGATTGTATAGGTCCTTCAATAATAAGCTATTTGTGTATCAGTGTGTGTTGTTGATTGTTTGCAGAACTGCGAATGTGCCCAAAATCAAGTACGTATAAAACAATGTATTACTTGGCAGACAATGCCCTCCTCTCTTCACTTTTCCACTGAGAGAGAAATCTTTGGTTTGGGATGGGGTGAGATGCTTAGGTTTTAGCTTTAAATAATTAACTGCTAGTCAAGAAGAAATCATTTGAATAAAATATAGTTACATACTGTTTTTGTAGAACCTGTTAGTTTATTGAAATCCGAGGCAATTGTGTATAATTTGTAGGCTAACAGGTTTATTTGAAAATCAATACTAAAAGGACCTTTTGAATTTAAACTTGTAAAATATTTACACTGGAAAGGACAATATCTATATTATTTGATTATTAGCACATAATATCTTTTGCATAACTTATATTAGAAGGCACAAGTAATGAAGACTGGACATTTATACTGCTGTTTAGTCAAGTCTAAAAAGAGTTGCTCTGTTTGACAGTGATTTTCCTCTTCTTGTTCTTGATGAGAGTGAGGGTAAAAACATCCTTATCTGAAGAGATAGTGACAATGGTGGTAGCAGTGGTGTTTTCTGTCACTGTGATGACCTAAGGTTGTAAACTGAGTAAGGTTTCTAAGGAGAATCTAGTATGTTAGGTGAGGAAATACAGCTAAGAACGTGTTATTTTTGAAAATGGCAGCTGAAACACCTTGTGCTATTCTGTGATTTATGAAATTTGTATAACCTGTGTGTTGATGATATCTCTGTAGGTACAGTGTGCTGTTGAGATGTTTTCTCTACTGATAGCATAGCTGTTGAGCTTCTAACAATCAGACGAGCAATGTTTCCATTTTCACAACTGCCTGCAAAACATTTTGAAGGGGCAATGAAGTGACATGTAATTTGTTAAGCTGTTATAATGCTAACTAGACATGCCAGTGAAGTGAAGAGACATTTCTGCACATACTGGCAGTCAAAAGATCAAGATCACTAAAATGGTTCGTTTGTTTTAATTGTTCTGTAACCACTGCCATGTTGTCCCTTTTCTAGTATAAGGGTTGAGCTTCATATAATGAACTTCAGCCTGATGTTAGCATGCTTATTTTTAATTAATTACCTTCAGTGAATGTCCAAGTAGTTTTATAGTCCTCTAGAAAATCATGGATTCCAACTTGAAAACAGCTGCTCTAGAGTGAAAAGAAGAATATATGCTGTCAGTGAAAGGCGATTGATGTAGTGATGAGGCCTAGCATAGGAACTTGGTTAATGCTTGGGAAACTCGAATTTTACACTTCTATGTAAATATAAAATTTTACGGATTTAAATGAAGTTGTATCAGAGAAGGGGTCAAGACATAGAGGTATAAATACCGTCTCTTCCTGTGGTGAGAGCCTGAGCTACTGTGGAGGAAGGGGTATCTTCTGATAGCAGAGGTACTCACAGTTGTAGAATTACTGGTAACAAAGGTAGGAAGAGCCCAACTTCACTTTCACATCTGAGGTTACAAAGGCAGATCAGGAACTGATATGAGGCAATAGGTTTGCAATCCCGGGATGCTGCTTTTCAAAATTAAAGCATAGTTTATTGCTCTTGAATAGAAGATTTCAGCAAGAGGCTAATGTGAACAATGTCCAAAGGGTCAAAAAGAAATATGTTTTTTATTGGATGCATTAACAAAAATTAATTGTACTTAATTTGTAAAATATTTACTATTTTATTGAATAAAACTGTACTCTTCACATTTAAATTAGACCAATATTAAATCATTTTTAATTCAGTGTTTTCATCAAGAGTAATTTATTTTGATTGAAAGTTTTAATATGACTCACAGTTTAAATTCATTCAAACACACTTTTTAATAACGTTAAGATTGTGACAATTTATCCTTAGCAAAGTCATATCATAGACTACATTTCTTTTGGTTACTAAAGTTACAATAAAAGCCTAAATGAATTTTAGAAATATCAATAACTGTAATTGCTACCAAAACACTACATCTCTTAAAAATTTCATAGCTACAGTTATTGTGGCTGTTAAGCTGCAGCTGTCCACATTGACGTTTTTATGCTGACACCCCCAGGTAATCTTCATTATGGGAAATGCCATGAGAAAATAAAATGTAGTGAATTAAGAAACATATTAAGAATGCTGTAGAAATGCTGTCATTTGCTTACATTTATGTCCTGTTTCATGTCAGTTTTACTTTTGAATGCAAACGAATGGGTGAGATTATGGTATATTTTACCCCTGAGAGAGGCAGGGGAAAATCCTTTAGGATTACTTTAGTCTTCTGAACATCTAGTCTTGTGCTTGGTGCCGAATACAGTCCTACACTCTTAAAGATGGAAAATTAGTTTCCTTAACATTAAAACTTTCCAGAGATGGGACTTGAAGAGATTGGTCTGTGTCAAGGGGAAACTACGATGATGTTGTTATAGCATGATAATTAGCTAACTGCGGGACTGCAAAGCATCTCTGAACAAGAGACTGTTTTCAGAATAGGAGCTGGTGTTATATGCAGTAAACAGGGCAGGCAGGAGAGCACCCGGCTCTTTCCTTTCCATCTAAAGGCTACTTGCAGTGGTTGGCCTTGTCACTCAAAGCAAGATGTAATCAGTGGCACGTGAAAAAGTAAAAGTTAGCTATACAGAATTCAGCTCATGCTCTCAGTAATGTCAGTCCTTTTCCCTTGCATGGGTCTTACCTTTCTCTACTTACTGTTGGTGGAGCGATGTTGCTGTGCAGCCACGCAGGGGAAAATTCTTGTGTTCTGAAAAGGTTAACGTCTAACGTGAATCATAGTTTGCAAGAATAATGAACAGTGGCAAGGAACATGGGAGTTATGGAGAGTAAGGTAAATAAGTAGAATACTGTCAAGCAGCTAAAAGTTTAAGATTCAGTGAAAAGTAGCGGATCATCATTCCCAACTGTTCTTCATACTGGCTGTTACCAGCTGAACCCAGAGGATTAGGTAATCAGTGTCTAGGATGGTGCTGAAGGTCTCGGAGGCTTGATCCCCACCAACAAATATGTTATCGATGTATATTTTGTTGTACTCAACAGTGACCATCTTGGTCTAGAAACGTTCAAAATTATTCTTAAGACTTTGCAGATGTGGAAACTTATCAAGGTTTTTTTTGCATATTCAAAATTTTCTTTTGCATGTATTAAAATGCAAAGCATAAGTATAACTAAGTAAGTTTTGCTGCTTATAACATGCGTAGTTAATGTGTTACATTGTTGACATCACTAATACAGTATCTGCATAAGATAATAGCTTGGAGTCAAAACAAAACAAAAAATTAGCAGTCTTATGGTCACTATTCCCATAGCAGTTGTCAGTATGTATCTGCCTGCTGTTTTAAGGAAGGAATTACATGTCATGTTATGAGAGATAAGTGCCATATCTGTGTTTTGTTGTGTATTCTGTATAGTTTGTGGAGTACAGTTGTTTGAATTCTTCAGTTGCTGTCAAGTGCTCAGAGGCAAGACTAGGAAAGCTGCTTCTTCCATGTCTCCCAAGTGACATCCAAGCAGCTGAGTAGCTGGAAGTTGTGGCTATCAGTGCACAAAGCAGTTGATACAACGAATAAAACTAAAAAATAAAATCCGCTTAAAAATAAGTTGTTTTTCTCAAATTAGATAAGTTTTCATGTGCTAGCTCTCTTTGAAATATTTGAGTCACTGAATCTCTTCATGTTTCAGAATTATAAATTAAAAAAGGATTAAATATTACCTTTCCTGAAAGATACTTTCTTAGAGCATCCTAACTGCTCTTTAAAATGACAAAGCCAAGACACAAATGAAGATATATTTTGGCTCACTCGCTGAGTACACCTTTCATTCTAAGCTCAAGTGTGTAATTGTCTACATCAGTCTTAATTTACTTATGAAGACTCGTGGTACTAACTGCATGTATCTCATCTGTTAGGACGTACCAATTAAATCTACCCGTATAGACCATAAAAAGTTAGATCAGAAAAGTAATGCTGAATGCTTCAATTTAGCAAATTAGAATAATCTGTAAGGGATTCTTAGCTGTGTAAAATAGAAAACATATTGTGCTTCACAAATGCAAACGATATTAAACCCTCAGCTTGTATTTTTAAAAAAAAAATCAAATTGTTCTCATTACTGTTTTGGATGCAGAATTTCTTTCTCGGGTATTGCAATAAGTGGGAAATGGGCTTAGTATCTGAATACATTCTTATATTAAGAAAGATTTAATTGTGTGATATATGGCTTTCATACTGCATTTTCAGGATAAAATTGTATTTATGGCAGTGACCATGGACAACATAAGATAGATTTCTCAAAGGTCATGCTTTTATTTTCAAGAGACCTTGGTGATATAGTAAAACCTGTATTTTCTGATTGTTTAGGCATTCTAATGATGTTTAACTGAGGTGCATAAGGAATATATTGACCAAATGGTCAATATGTTGCTGTGTAGTTAAGTCAAATATGAGCTACTACTGTTTCTTCCTCCAAAGTTTTACTTCTGGGGAAAGGTACAAGACCAGACTGACTGACTGATCTGGTCTAGCAAATAGTGTTTGTCCTTCCATTGCTTCAACCATTTAGATATTTATGCTTTTTTAAAGAAAATAATGAAGTTTTAGTGTAGAATATCTTAATACAATGTCTTACGTTAAGTTCTCAGCCTTTCAAAAACTGAATAGCTTCTTTAAACTTTGAAAGTTGTTAGTGGTAACAACAAATTGCTGCTTTTTCTTTAAACTGATAACTGAGGGGAAAAAAAACCTCCAGACCTTTGGAAGAGATGTAGTACTGGAGCCTTCAGTACTACAGCTTGTGTAATTATACAGGTCAGTAAAGTAGCAGATACAGTGTGTACAAAATAAACTTTTCTTTAGGAAAATTAAGTACGGGATTTATTAGTTCAAATTCTAGATGTCTAGTATTTTCTAGGTATCTAATAATTTTAAGAGAAATCACAACATCGATCAGACTTCTTGCAGAAAATATAGTAGTTATATTAAGGTGAAGTGCCTAAATTCCTGAACAGCTACAAGCCAATCTCAGAAACGTTTCTTCTTGGTTGTTTCTGGATCACTTTTTCTAAAGTACACTAGAGGGCAATCTGTTTCTTCCCAGGGGAGACTGAAGTTCCAGTGTTGGCTAGTGGCGATTCATATTGAAATATAGAATTGGAAGCAAACTCTTGTACAAATTATTGCCCTGCTTGAGTTTAATATGGATTTTTTACCTAGCTGTCACTTCGGAAGCTTTGTAATCTACAATTGTTTTGATTTTAGTGTGCTAAGTAGAAGTTTTCTTCCTTGGATTGAGTCTTGTCATAACCTAGTCAGATAAAATCAAGTTCTGACATGCCTCAGTTCCAGTAATGACATAGTCTGAAGCAATGACTGTCGGCATTTGTCAATTTGAATTGTTGATCTTTTTCTGGAACTCGGAAGAATAATTGACCAACTGTGCCTGATAGCACAACATTGTAGTACTGAACAAAAATAAATGCATTTTTATGCTGTGCGTCTAGAATGTATCATATCTGCCTGCTAGACTCCAGAGCATGAATGTTATTTTCCTAAATCAAACATTTAACACACTGCTAGTCTAAGAGATTTCAATTCCTGTATTAGGGTAGATATATAAAAGTATCTGTGGCGAAAACTTTGACACTTTATTTTTAGTATGTTCTTTTTTTACTACTTAACTGGATACATGATTTCGTATAATGAAATAAGAACAATCCAATAATAAACATTAGCAACTCATCAGCTTTTAATCAGAAAACTGAAGATCGTCTTTGTCCATCTTGTTTTTTTCCCCTGCATAGGTTGCTTTTTCTCTCCATCATGATTTTTCCTTCTGAAGACTTTCTGACTTAAAAGATCAAAATATATTCCAGTGAAGCTGGCTCTCTAAACCTGCCCAGCATTGTATTGTCTTAGTTAGTTTTTCAGTGCGATTGTTTTTGGCAGTTATTGTAACTTGTGTATATTTGGAGATGGTGGTGTTTATTTTCACTTAATAAAGCAATACCACAGTTCCAAGTTTGTGACTGGTTCCATAAAGGTAGACTGTAACTATTTTCTGAAAAGATACTGGTGAAAAGCTGATCTAGAAACTTGCCATAATTAGCTTTCTTTTATGAGAAAGGGTATACGATTGTGTTGTTTGTATATGAAGTGTTGAACTTCCTCCCTGTTCTCTTGTTCCTAACCCATTTTTTTTTAAAACAAATTTGCCAGAGCCACAGAAACCTTTAAATGGAAGTCCCAACAAGTTTCATTGAAGTAAGTGGTCAGGAAGACAAGAGAAACTCTGTTAATGCTGCCACTGGAGAAAACAAAGCTTGAGCTTAAGTCTTGTTATGAGTTTGCAGATCCTGTGGAAGGTGATTTTGAATGACCTAACAGCAAGAAGAGTCTCTTTTAGTGTTCTCACCTTATTTCATACCAGAGAATGCAGAGTAGTGTCCTTATGAAGACAGGCATCATTGGTTTAATTGTCCCCAGAACTGCTTATGTAGTCAAAAAATACAAGGGGAACACTAGACCTTCACTGCCTGTTTGTTGTTTTTGGGCGGGGGGGGGTGTTGTTTGTTTTTTTTAATTCACTAATGTGTTCAAGACAGAAAACTTGAATCAAATTTGGTTTTAAACAGTTTTAGCTGACAGGATTTTTCTCTAGCAGAGAAGGCACTTCTCATATCGAGCTGGAAGGAGTTACAGTACTGTACGTGACATTGAGCCAGTTGTGTCTGCTCTTAACATGACTGAGCTAGATAGCAGCATGGCTCGAGTCTTAAAGATTTGAAGCAATGCTTGTGACGTTTTGTAGTGTATTCTCGTTTGCTTGCTAGGTTGGAAGTGCAAAATGTCAGGGATGGTAGCTGTCTTACGGGCAGTTGTTTGAGAAAAATTTTAACAGCGACTTCTATCTCCCTTGTTTTGGTTAGTTAGGTCACGATATAAATCAAAATAATTAAACTGTTTAAGTTATGTTTCCATAGCTGATGATATTGTCAACTTTGGGCCAGAAATTAACTAACATTTTTATGATTATGCTGCTTTTTCCTGACATGGATAAAATTTGACTAGTAGCATTGAAAACATAAGGCACTCAGCCCATAAGCTTAAAGCACGCTGGATTGTGCATAGCAAGGCTGGAAATAAAATACAGTTTGCATGTCAACCTCTAGATGCAGTTTATCTTCAAATGCTTGAAAGCAATGCAGAGCTTTACAGAAAAATCAGGATAAATAACTTCAAAAATTTTTTAAAAAGAGGAAAATGTGAATTGCCTCATGTTTTTAAATAGTTCAGAAATCCTTTTTCCCAGAATAAGGAGTGTGTTTTGGGGAAGGGGGGTGGGGTTTTTGTTTTGTTTTTTAGAACTCTGTTAATCCATTATCCTGCCTATTTTTTTAATTTTTTTTTTTTTTTTTTTTTTGCTGCTGCTACGGAGGCAACCTAAGCTAACAAGTTGTTTGTGTAATGGGTAAATGGTAACATGTTACCAGAAGGGAAATGGAGTAGTCACTCACCTGTAGTGTTTGTCATTCAGAAACTGGAGGTGTACTGGAAAGCTATTGCATCCTGTTAAGGCCTCCTCCATCCAGTTACTGCAGGACTGTTCTAGAGCACATTCTCCAGGGTTTCTTCAATGTAGAGTTAAAAGACTGGACAGATGAGTTTTCCAGTGTCTCACTCAAGAGGCTGTTTGTTGCTTAATGCAGTAGATTTCAGTGCTGGGTGGCTTATCTTACTTTTTTTGGCCTGAATTTTCCATTTGCTTCTTTTCATCCCATCGCTACTATTTCTAGTTCTTTGGGACCTGAACAATTTTAGTCTTCATATTTTATATTTCAGATACTTCTAGACTATCAGGTGGTCTTCTCCTTCAGCCTTTTTATGAGATGAAATATGGCTGCTTTTACGCTGCATCCAGAACAGTAACATAAGGATGTTTTTCATCTGTTCTATAGCTTGCCAATTTCTGTAGGAATTTTGTCAGTTCATACACCTGTTTATACACAAATTCAGTGTGCTTGCAGTGAATGGCACTTTCACGGGAGAATTGCAGCAAAACCCAAATTGTCAGTGAAGTGCTGTTGATTGGTTAGTACATACCCAGCTAGCAGTAGCATACGCTTACTATTACAGATAGATGTTTTTGGGTCACTAAAACACAAGTCCATAATTTCCTTGGATGTTGAAGATCCTTTGGTACTTTTTCAAAAGCAGAGGGAACGATGGGACAGGAAGGTAATTCCCTAACCTGCCTAAAGTCCAAATAAGATTAGGCTGCAGACCACAAATCACTTCGTAATTTCAAAACCTCAAAAAACTCATTCTTTTAATAATGACTGCTTAACAGATTTAGAGCACGTAACCCCAAAGATGGTGATGTTTCCAACTGAGTCTTCTGTATAAGATTATATACAGCTGCCCATTTCTCTAGGTTAAGGAAGTTATTTAAGTATTTGGTTAAATTAATAAAATAGCTTTGGAATACCTAAGCTTTACTGATATTTTTGTGGGGGTTTTTTATGGAAGTTTAGGAATTTAAGATAGCCAGATTTTTTTTTATGGTGTTAAGTGTTGATTCCATTATATTAGTATTTCTGTCTATAGAAAATTGTAACTAGCTATAAAATTCTGAAGGCTTATAACTAAATAGTCAGGAGTGCATGCACCTTTTAATATGTCAGATATTTTGAGCGTTTACTTGAATAATTCTCTCCTCCAAAGGATTACTGTTTAAATCATGACATCAGAGATTGCATTTTTGTTGGGTTTTTAGCTGATTGAAAATTCAGTCTAGTTTTCATATAGTATCTTTTCTATGCAATAATTGAGTGTTGACTGCTTGTGTCACTCTAGGAGGTGGCAAAAAGAACGTTTGAAGGATAAAGAACATCAAACAGCTGAGGAACTTTCGGAAGAAAGTGACACTGAATTTGAAGAGGGTTTCAAAGTACCAGGATTTCTCTTCAAAAAGCTTTTTAAGTATGTATTGTGTACTTTATTTTAATATTATGCTGCTGTATGCTGTTAATATTAGTAATAGTCATGATGATTTCTGGATGCCCTTTGCTGTAACTTTTACTTCAGTGAATGATGCTTCAACTTTTACTTCAGTTGTGTCTGTAGGATTATTTCTTTAAGAAAGGCTCCAGGATCAAACCTCAAAGAAACTAATTTATTACAAGCACAAAATGCAGTCACATGAAAATACAGGTGATAACTGGCTGATGTGAATATTGTGAATGCATATTAGCTAAACTACAAATTGAGAAGCTCTCCTTGTTTCTTTTTAGAAATGCTTTCTTTTATTGATAAGTGCTTGCTTTTAATTCAGGTGTGGAGTGGTAGAATAACCTTACTTTGAAGAATAAGGTGTTGGCAAGTTGTGGTAAATGAAAACAAGAAATTTGGGTGTTTCTGTGATTGGGTGGAGTGAGTGAAATTTTCTGCTAGTAAAAAACATAAGCAACTTTTTCTTTAAATAACTACTCAAAGTAACTACTTATAATTCATATTGTAAAATAGTCTTGAACATTTTGCCCAGTAAAATTTTAAAATATGAAGAGCGCGTTCTTAATTCCTTTAGTAGACGGAAAGCACTCTACAACTCATTCTTTAGTTATTTAATGCTGGATTACAGATTTGCATGTGACTGCTTTCTGTTTCAGTTTTTTTGAGACCATGGTGCCCAGTGATACTTTGAAGTTCATCTCAACAAGCTATTTACAAAAGGCAGCCCAAACAAGCTAGCAGCTGACAAGTTAACTTCATCTATAATGTCTCCCGTAACTTTCATGCATACTAGGCTTCAATTCGTTTTTGCTGGCAACATTTCACACAGCAGGGAAAAATATCTTCTCTTTCAAAAGCTAACTCTTTTATAATTCTTATAATTAGCGTAGTAGAAAGCCCTGGTTTATAACAGGCATGTGTGGTATCCCTTCCAACAGGACCACTTAGTCTTAACCTCAAAGAAATTATTACTGTTGTCCTGCAGTTCCTCAGAAGGAGAGCACTAGCTCTGAAATGGAATTGAATTAATGACTGGGTTGCCAGGACCATACACAGCCAATATGTGGTCTCCAGTTGTTTATGCAAAGGTACTGCAGAAGTAATCATCCTGAGAACGGATGTGTAGTCTGAGCAACCCAAAGGGAATTGAAATAAAACAGACAACTAAAAATTAATCTTAGAGATACCAGCCTCACTAATGAAGGGTATCCCTGCAAGCATGAGTCAGTTGGCAAAACTTCTTAAGCGGTTAGAAAGATCAATTGAGTTGAATGATTTGTCTGACTTGTAACTTAAATGCTGAAATCTCCAATGTAGGAAGGCCCATAATCAATAGGCATTAAACTTTGAGTTCTGAGCAAGTTTAGTACAAAACATGGCAGTATATTGACCCAAGGAGGTGTATAGCAGTATACTGTAAGTGATCTTTCTGCATAGTTTAATTTAATTCCAAAGAAGTTAGCTCACACTAGAAATAGTGGATCCTTATGTTCGTTCTTTGGTAAGCCTGTTAAAGTGGACAATCTGTTTCTTCCCTACATGCTTGTCTGCTTTGAGTAACATTCAGCAAGAATACCATTGGTGCTGCTGTGGAACACCATCAAACATAGTGAACAAGACTGACTTACAAACATTGCCTTATACTATTTGCACTTAGCCTGAAAGAATGCTGTCTGTATAAACAAGAAACCAGGTTCCTTCATTATTTGCTTTCAGTGTGTGATTTCCGTGATATGTCTGAAATGCAGTTTTGTCTCAGCTGAAACAATGCAGCTGAACTCTGCTAGCTACTGTGGTGAATTTTGAGGGATGCATCACAGCATGATTGCTCATGCGAAATACAGTTCAAACATAACTAATTTGGAAGACCAGGCAACATTTTTATTTTACTTCTACGGTATTTTTGGAGTAAAAAAAAAAAAATGTAAAAGCATAAGATTAAAGAGAATTTATTATCTCTCCATATAACCATAAATTCTTGGGGGGGATTTTTTTTTACTTTAACTTTTGTGTAGTTGCAATTATTGCATATTTATATGATTATACAAAGAAAGCACCTGCATCTTGTCCATTTTTAGATAACCTTGGAGCAGAATTTTTCACAAACTTAATTCTCTACTGTGAAACTTTCTTAGGAGAAGGAGGGAGAGGGAGAAAGATGGTTATAAATGCAGCTAGCTTTTAAGCACTGGATGTAGTCCTAAGAAATAATACGAAATAATATCAGGAAGTTCTTGAATGATTGTCTTCTGAAGAGACATGCTGGACATTAGTCTGGGGGAGCAGCTTCTGACTGGAAGTAGGGCTCTCTCCAATTCTTTAATATTTCTGTCAGAAAATGTTTGTCTTCATAAAATGTAGTAACGGTAGCATCTTAACCCAATTATAGCTAATCCTGCAAGCCATTTCATAGTTGTTTTTAGATTGCTGCATTTCTAAGGCAAATTAATTTCTAATAAAAGAGGGTTGATATAATGCGTTTGAGACACCAGCAGATAGTATGATGTCCGAACCATTAGATGTGTTCTTTGATCATCTTTTTCTAACTACTCAAGCCATTTGTTTGTCTCCGTTTAGCATTCTCTAAATCCATACAGAACTCATCATAAATTGATTTTAATAGTACTTTGTAGACACTAGTGTCATTAGCTGTCAGTAGTCCTAAATAGTATTTGTTCAAAGAATGAAACAGGATTTTGAAATGTACACAAGACAATGCCCTAAAATGAACATTCCCTATTTTATGAAAAAAATGTGTTTTGCTCTTTGCTGTGCTCTGCACTCCAGGAATGCATGCCATCAAGAAAATGATATCAGTAACCTTGTTCTTCCTCTTAAGTTACAAGACACAGGAGTGCTGAAAGGTGGTTTTTGTTTTGTTTTGTTTTTTAATTGTAATGTAAATATACTTTCTTAATTTCTTTCTGTTCTGCTTTCAATTTAACCCACACACGTGGTGTGTTATTCCTACTTGTCTCTCTATTTCATATCATTATAAAAAAGCCTGTCCTAAAGTGATTCTCAGTCCAGCATCTTATTTCTATCTTTCTGGCTTGCCATTGTAAATCTTGCTTTCTAGTCTACTTCTTTTAATTGGAATGTATTTTACATTGTTGCTTATGCAATTTCCAGTGAATGACTGGGAGTGGAAGCTACCCTGATACTCTCATGTAGTAATGCTCTGCTGCACCCCATTCACTGGAATACTTTCTATTGTTTTGCCTTCCAAAACATTTTGCCTTGTTGGCTTTTTTCTTCATTGAAAGAAACTAAATGTTATTAAATGAATTTATGTAAAAAGAAAGCACGCTTTGACAGATGTGATCAGTTTCCACAGTGGGTTATAAAGTCTGTATGCCTTAAAAGTCAAGCTTTTCCTTCAGTTCAAGGTATATGTTCCAAATAATATAATTTACTAGACCTGTACATGTTGTCTTTTCTGAAAAGATAATGCTTTGTTAGAGTAGCTTTCCAAGTTGCTTTTAACACTTAAAATATACATGAAATAAAATACCCTCTAATTACCATGACTATCAGTTTAATTAGAAATGTTTTAGTGTTGCATACAGAATGAAAGTCACATGCAATGTCTGAGTGCATCAAAAATGTATGACCTAGTAAATACAGCATTCATGTAAAACACACATCCAGCATGTTACTGTAACTAGTATAAGAACCTTGCCAAATGATTAATTCATGAGTACTTTCTGTTATGATCTGTATTATCAAACATTTGCCGTTTTCTTTTTCCTTGTTTTAGGTACCAGCAGACAGGTGTTAGGTGGCTCTGGGAATTGCACTGCCAGCAGGCAGGAGGAATTCTGGGAGATGAGATGGGATTGGGCAAGACCATCCAGATAATTGCCTTCTTGGCAGGTCTGAGCTACAGCAAGATCAGGACTCGTGGTTCAAATTACAGGCAAGTGCTCCTCTGCAGACTGTCAGTCTGTGGAGCTCAATTAATATTTCATCAGATGTATTGCTGGTGGAGGAGGGTCCTGTGAATTATTAATGACATTTCAATTACAATATTCCTTTAATTCTTTTAGTGGGGGACATCAAAGGAAAAATTTTACGAGACAATGGAGCTGTAGGGCAGGAAAAATTAAACATGTAACACTTTTAATGAATTCCAGGCATTGATGCTTCATTTTGCAGATGAGCCACACTAGATATTTTGGGTCAATACAGTGTCTAAGGTTAGCTTCCACAAATGGATTGTTTACAAACTCAATTACATTAATATCAATAGTTTACACAATATGGAATTTTAAATTAGATGTAATACCTTTAGTTCCATTTATTAAATTTTACATTAAAATATTTGTTCTGGCAAGCCACCAGGTAAATGCTTTACAGGAAGCAGAAAGATTATTTGCAATGAAAGTTAGAGTTTCTGATCGGCAGGGAATTATCCATGCCAAAAAAATAGTAGTAATAGTAAAAACAGTAACTTATACAGAGGAATTTCCATTTGCTTTTTTTTGTTGTTGTTGCTGCTTTTCAAAACTATGTTAGAGTGACTGGCCTTTCTTACAAGATCTTCTATGCTTTTTTGTTACTGAACAATGCTTTAAAATTCCTTCTTCGTAGGTGAAATTACTGGAAAAGATACTTGTTGGTGTCCTTGGATTTACAAATGCATACATGAATAATACTTGATTTTTCTAGTTCTGTTGGCCTGTTTACCTGATGTAAATTACTACATGCAATTAAGCAAATACCATAGTATATACTAAACAAAAATAATTAACTTTATATAAAGGCATATTTAAATTATGTTCAGCATGCACATGAATTGTAAAATAATGCTTTAAAGAGAAAATATTACTGTCTTTTTCTCCAGTTGCTTCCTACTGTAGCTTTTATATAAAAAACTCCAGGTCCTCCATCACTCAGGTCAGTTGATTTACTTTAATACTGTACAGATTATTTTGTGTAGGTATGTTCCCTGCCCCAGCTTGAGAACCACTAAGCTGATGGAAATCCTTTGGGAACATCTCTTGATATTGTTACGCAGTTACAGCTTAAGACATAAGATACTGCAGTGAAACTACAATAAAAGTTTTTGAAAAGGCCAAAATATAAACATACACCTAAGTTGCAGTGTTCTTTCCGCATGTAAGATAATGCATTCAGTTTCATTTTTGGGCTGGTGCATGTCATGAAGTCCATCATGATAGTAATTCCATAGGAGGAAACAAGGTTTAATTTTTTTGGTGAAACTTACTCTGATTTTGCTTGTGTGCTGTAAGGCAGAGGGTCTAAACAACTTGATCTTTGCATAGCCCAGTATTTTCCCCATCTGCGTTCTGAACTAGGAAGGCAGTAATGCTGGCTAGCTAGCTTCTGTCTGAAAGCCATGTAGCCTAGTAAGCAGAAGACCACCTGGTCAGTCTGGCTGAGAAGCAGGTATTAAGAGTGGACATAGTTGTGTTGTCGGCATGTTTAAATGTCTTCTAGCCTAGCTTGTATCTCATTACCTTGATGTGTAGATGGAGCTAGTGTATTACGGTATGAATCCGGCACTGCGGGCTTTCCTAGCCTCAGCTGGCCTTCTGTAAAATGGAGATAATACTGTCATTCCTGTGCAGAATTGCAAAGACTGTTGTATTTGGAGGCACTTGAGCATTAAAGCAATAGAATCACTTTTGTTGATATTCAAAATATTCAGCTTTATTTTCTATCAGTGAAATTTTCTGAAAAAGTATTCTTTAAAATAAGGTGAGTAGAAATTTCCTTTTGTAAATTGCTTCTGATTTTGAAGGAGCCTGAAGACTAGCTGAAGTAAGGAACTACTTGTTACATGGAGTATAACTATTACAAAAATTAAAATGTTGTCTCACTTTTAACAGTTGTTGAGCCATACAGCTGGGGAAAACCAAATGCCATGTGAGGTATCAGTACAAGTGTTGCAGCTATGGTGGTGTAAGGATATAAGGGAAGCAAGATTTATAGAGAGGGAAAGGTCTTTTGTTAGACAAGCTGAGGTAGTTGGAAAAAGCAACAGCTTTCAGACCAATGGTCCCTTCACAAGAAAAAACAAAGCAGCAGCAAACTTCAAGTAACCCATCTCTAGCCTGTTAAAATCTGCATCTATCTAGGTTGAAATCTGTTGTTGAAATCTGTTATTGAAACCTGTTGAAGGGCGTGGGGGTCCACAATTTTGCTTGTTTCCAAACATATTATTTTGTTTAACAAAGATGTTACCTTTCACTACAGACTTTGCTTCATTTATTTGAGAGATCAGATGAGAAACTCTGCCATAAAGTTTGTACACTGATTATTTACTCATCTGTGCTCTTCAAGATACTGAGATATAATCATACACATTAAACATTAAGGCTCAATCTCTACTATGAGTGGCAGAGAGATTAATTTCCATGGTGCTTACATAAATAAAAATCCATTGCCCCAGAAAATTTGTATTGTTCTTGCTGCCCTGTTCTTTTTTCACTAGGATTTAGTTGTCATTTCAGTTTCATTTTGAAGGCATGATTTGCTAGTGCTCGGCCAATAGAGTTGGTTATAATGCAACATGTTTTCCTCTGCTAATTTTTTGAGTACTTAAATATTATAGTATGACTACAGCTTCCTTTTTCTTGGTAGTAAGTTGCAGGAATAGATCTTATTTGCAATTCCAATCACATCCAATTAAATAAGAACTAATAAAGGATACTTGCTGTGAATTTGGGTTTTATAAACCAGAAGCAACAGAAGAAGAAAGAGATTTGGGTATATTGATCATATATGATACTGACAATAAGCTATTAGTACAATGCAACTGTGAAAAAGGGACAGAATATGTTATGACAATATATTTGGGGTAGGAACAGGGCAGTACTGGTATCCTGGTACGAGGCACCAGTAAGACTTTGGTTAGGAATGTTGTTAGTGTCACCTTTGTTCAAGGAAAACAAATACAAATTGGATGGGCAGCAGAGCAAATCTGTTGCAGTGATTAAGAGAATGAAGGATGCCTCCTAAGTGTAGCAAGAAGTGCATGGTTTGTTTAGTTTTGTGAAACAGCACAGAGTGGAAGAAGTTAGGTGACTCTTCTATATAAATAAATAAAAGCTCTCAAGAGAAGAATAAAATGTTGGCTAGTGGAAAGTGGTTAGAGCCAGACTAGACACAGAAGAGGTTTCACACAACCGAGTGAAGGGGGAGTGGATTTTCTGAAAATTGATCAAAAGAAGTGTGAACTCTTTGTGTAAGCTGAGGGGAAAAACAAAACAAAACAAAAAACCCACAGATAAACCCAGCATGTGAGCTTGTTTGATACAGACCACGGGAATAAATAGAGGTAATTTGTTACTACCCTTGAAGAATGAGAAACTAATATGTTCTGGGAAAGTTGTCTTTTTTGCTATAAATATTCTTAAGAGCAGTTGGCAATGTGAGCAGTTTCTGAAGACATTAACAGGTTTTTTTAAAGCAGGGTATTGCTGGTGTCTGGGAGATCCTTCTTTATTGCTATATGCATGTGGTCTTGAATGTGTACTGTGATCTTTTGAACTGTTTCTTAGCACTTGTATAGTAGTATGTAGTCAGCCAGACACAGATCAGTATGTGATAACTGTAGCTATTGCCTTTGTTCGCAAAGTCATTTTGTTCTGCTTTTTAAAGAGCAAATATATTTGAAAAATAAGTACTAGTAACCGTTACTTAATGTATTTCCTACATGATTGTTGGTATTTGTGATGGTAATATTTCTTGTTTGGCTATCATGCGAGAGATTTTTCTCTTCTTAACCTTAAGAGTAGCTCTGAACTTAATATACAGAAAGACTTTGTTTCAAATGTCCTCAGTAATTCTCAGAAACGATCATATTATTATGAATAAGAAACTTCTGAGACAGTTTAAGCCCAGCTCAGACTTCAGGTTCCATGGATGATATATTCTGCTGCTTTAGAGTCCTTGTCTTATCTGTAAACTATGGTGATAATAGTACAGTGTATTACCAACATGAAGCAGAAAACCTGTGTGTAAGTCCATTTGTGAGACTCAAGCTACACATTCTTTTTAATAGAAGTAATAAAATATTTGTTTGTTAATTTTTTCTTTTCTCTTATAGAAACAGCAGCCACCCAAACCTGATATGTGTTACCACAGGAGGAAGTTCCCTTATGCCTTATTATTTGGAGCTTTTCTGTTTCTGTGTTTATCTTGATAGATGCATCCATTAACTGTTTGGTGGATAGGTTCTTATAGCAGTACCCCTTTCATCTTCCGTTAAAAAACGGACTTCCAGAAGAACAAAATGCCAATTAATTTCCATAGCTCTCATATTCCACTTGAACTCTAAAGTGTGTCATTTTAATATGTGTGTATTTTAATGAGCCACTTAATACAGAGTATTTATTTCATGTTAAAGGTTTTTCTTGCTTGAATATTTTATCTTAGGTACCAGGGATTGGGTCCAACAGTGATTGTTTGTCCAGCTACTGTGATGCATCAGTGGGTAAAAGAATTCCACACTTGGTGGCCTCCATTTAGAGTCGCTATTCTCCATGAAACTGGTTCTTATACCGACAAAAAGGTAATGGTTGACATCCATTTTGTAATTCCGGAAGCTTCTCTCTTTTTTTTTTTTTTTTTTTTTTTTTTGTGCTAGCCAAAAAAAATCCTCTGTTTCTGAACGTTTCTGTGCAAGCTTGTGCTCTTTCTCTGATTGTTGTAAAAGAACAAAAAGTTCACTGGCGTGTATAGATTTGTTAGGAAACTGAACAAAAAGGGGATCACACGGAGGACAATTACATTATGATATAGACTAGCATTGCCTGAACAAATTAAATGTAGTAACAGGTTTCTTGCTTGAGCTTTGCTTGTACTGTAGTCCATGCTAGAAGTTCATGACTAGACTGCTTGTACACCAGATTCATGCTTCTAGTACTGGTGAATTCTTTCCTTGCACTTTTGTGCACCAGTATGTCTTTGATCTAATATTTAATACGTTTTGCTTGCACAGGCAATTTCCCTTCAGTTGGTCAGTATGTCAGTTGATATCACCTAGTTTCATTTTCTTTAATGATACTGTTACTTTGTTGGTTTTCTTTTTTTTTTTTTTTTTTTTTTTTTCTCCAAGCAGTGCCTTTTCTGTCTTTTAATTTTCTTGGGCAGTCTCTTAATATGCATGTTCTTATTCCATTTCTTAAGTTGACAAGCCTGACTTGTCTGAAGTTTCAGTCCTTGGTACCTTGCAGGAACAAAAGCAGGAAAACGTAGATTTTTGTTTTCCCTTGGCCTCATATTTCAGATTCTTAAATGGATTTTCAGGATTCAGCAAACCATTTTTAAATTTATCTTTAAATATTTATTGAATTTCTTGTAATAATATTAAAATGATATGGTGCTTAATTGCACTTGATTAAATGTATTCTGAGGTAACTGATGCAGTTACAGTACATGGCAAAAAAGGAATAGCGTGCTCAAATGTGCTAATAGCTTCCTGTTGTTCGATTAACTTGGTATGTTTTCAAGCCCTAAAAGTCTGTTGACCTCAATAACATGCTTGCATATCTTCCTAAATTAAATCACGTGTGCTTATTTGGGGGTATTTGTTAATTAATGCACTTGACAGACTGGCTCAAATTTTTCCATCTGCAGGAATAGGCAGGTTTTCAGGACTTCACCTTCCTGTTATCCTCCCACAAATGCCTACTCAATAACTTAAAATTAAGAAATTTAGATACCATATGATCATTTCAGATACGTTCAGTTCTCTAATTCTGCCTTAATGCCTCATCTACTGAGCTGCAACAGTATGCTTTAAACAGGTGTCACTGCTGATGTGGTCTTCACCTCATGCAGATTTTTTTCCTAGATGCCTCTTAATCAGAGAAGAGCAAGCTTAAGACTACAGTAAAGTTAAAAAGCCAACAAAACTTTCCCATTCTAGTTGTCCTTATACCTGCAAGAAAACTTTACTACTAATTTATTAGCATAAATAACACTTGTACACTGAAAATATATCACATAAAATACAGGCCAGGTTATTTACTACTGCCTAGAATTTCTTTTCAATATACATTCTTTCTATGAATAAGTTAGTTCTGATCTGGTGACAATTCCATCTTCTGATAACCTATGGCATTACAGGAGTCTGCTTTTGCATAAGTTAACTTTATAATACTCATCCAGGGACTGTTCTGCCCTTGTGCTCTGGCATAAGGCATAAACTTAAATAAGTTGAAGAAATAAGAAAATTGTGGTTAGACTGCATAAGAACATATGTTTTTTCTTTGAGATTAATTTTTACATGGCTAAAAGCCAAGCCGCTGTGTACCTGTGGACTCAGGGTTGCACAGACCTGTTTGGAATTAAACTGACAATTCCAGGATTCACCTGTTTTTCTGTTAGTATATCATGGTTTATCACAAAGTAAATGAGAAGAGTTTTGTGCTGACCAGCTAACTTCCCAGGAGATGGGATTGGGGAACTGAGGTTAGAATGGTCTGGACCAGTGGAAGAACATAATTGTCCCCCAAATTAACTGGACATCAGACAGTGAAGATCTTAATGGATTTTGAGGAATATATTATCCTGTAGTAGTTGGCCAGCAGGTTGTTCATGGTAAAATACAGTATTGCAGCTTGTTCTGTACAGGCCTGTGAAAGAGGACAAATGATTTCTAAGGAACAGAGAAAGATCAATCTTAAAACTAATGAAGGAGAATTTTGGAGGAAAAGAGTTAAGCAATGACAGGTGTCCCATATGGTAAGACAGCATTTCATAGCAGAAAGAGACAACAGCTGAAGTTTCAGTTGATAAAACTTAAGTTGATCTTTTAGGTGAGATGGATTTATGTAATTATTACCATAACATTGTCAGGAATCCTGAAATATTAGCAAATACTAAATCTTTCAGCACTGGTGAAATTACATGCTTTTATGAATAGGTATTTTCTGTTGCACCTTCTACAGTACCCAAGCATCAATGCAAGATCCTGTCTCCCAGTTCTTTAGACTTGCCCACAGAAGTATTTGCTTGACAGTGAAGAGTGAGGAAGACATCTGTTTGGATTTTTTTTTAATCATAAATTGATAGTAGGCAATACCTTGCACATCTTTTCAGTTAGTGAAACTTTTTTAGTGTTACAAAAGGACTTCTGAGCAGTGTGGTAAGTGAAAGGCTCACTGATCGTTACATTGGCATAGCCTCTCTTCCCAGTCCATTTTGGTTTTCTTTGCAAGCAACTTCAGGATTTTCCACAATAATTGTATGAAATAACAGCTTGAATTGTGAGCACCAGATCGGCTGCAAATCTGGTCAGCCTGTTTCAGATGAGTCACTGAGACACCCTGCTTAGATATCTCTGCTGATACAGTATTTGTGTAGGATTTTAGCATATGTGATGCTTCAAAAGAGAGACTACTTCATTCCTTTGCTAAAATAACAATGGTAGACAATTTTTGGCAGTAAGGGAGAGAAGTGTAAAGTCCCAGTTTCACCCCTTGAAATATGACTAATAGTTTAAAGGCCTTCAGCTGTCCACAAGGGAAGGCAGATTGGTATTTTAGATGATTGAAGAAAGACACAATAGGAGGTTGGATAGGTTTCCAAGACTTTAGAGCTAGTTTAAGGCATTTGGATGAAATGTAAAACTGGTGCTTTTTTTTATTGTTATCAGTGCTCACAGAAGATCATTTGGATGTTCTATGATGATAAATGTGCTTAAGTTGGAAACAGTAGGAAGAACCAAATTTAAGTAGTAGTCTTCCCCTGTGAAGTCAGCTTTCAGTTTGAACAAAGTACAGCGTTTGTGGCTAAATATGTCCTGTGGTGCTGTCTTATGCTATTAACCTCCTACTATGGTTTACACTCAAATCTGATGTAGCTTAAAGTAACTTGTAAATATCAGGTGCTCTGAGACCTCTAAGGATGAGAGAAAATAAAGAAGTAAATCCAATGTAGTCTATCATAAATACTGTTTTATTTATGGTATAGAACAGAAGATAAGGGGAAGAAAGCTCTGTAAGTGTAGGAAAAAAAGCCTTCTGTACAAAGAGCTTGTCCTGTTGTTTCAAAAACTTCTGATGGCACATGAGCATTTCTGAATCATAGAATGTAAGAGGCAACATGAACTTTGGTTATCTTGGTTTAACATGTCGCATATGGAAGTAAGCTGTATTTTTTTAAGATCAAAGCTGAACTTTTAATTTCTTGATCTTTAGAACAGGTATCACTGAGCTTAACAATTCTTTCTGGTGGTAATCATATACCATTTGTAAAGCCATAACTTTACATTTCCTTATTCTGGTCAAATGCTGGACACACAATGCAGCCCTCAAGAACAGTTTTGTGATGCTTGCACCTGTGGAACCATCTATTTGAAGATGGCTTTGCACACTGAAGATTTTAAACCCTCTACCCTCACAGTAGAGTACATGTAAAGAAAATAAGCTGCAGAGGTTACAGTTATTGGCATGACTGCATATGGAACCTTTATTTTAGTCAAAGGCTCTATTTCTGAGTTAAGGACCAAACTCAGATAAACTTAGTATCATGCCACAAGAAGTAGCATTCTTTTTAAATATGTACTAAGTGCTTTAGCTCTTATTATTTCAACTTTTACATTATTAAACATTGTAATGCGTTCTTTTGAAGCCTCTTCATGGTGCCATTTAGATTGTTTTATTGGGGGCAGGGAAATAATAAAGAGGTTTTATAGGTTGAATTTATGGATCTCTGGGCTTAATGGTTGGTTATGAGATAGTGACAGGCCTGCTGAAGAACACATTTTTGATTCACGAGTGGTATATGGTTGTATAAGTGACTAATATTATCTCTGTAAGTTCACACTTGCCTTAAAGGTATCTGAATGTTTAGAGAATTTTGTAGTTATCACTAGGCTAGTTCTTTAAGTTCAATCTTAACATACGCGTTTCTGTTTAAGAAAATTAACATTTTTAATACATAATAATATAGAAGAGTTCAGGTCCTCTTAAATATTTTCTACAAGACTACTTTATGCTAAAAAAAGATAAACCTTATTTCCGTAAGCATCAGTCAAAAAAAATGTCCTGTTTTTGCAGCTTCAGAAACAAACTTGTAGCTACAACGAGGTACCAACAGGAAAAAAACATGTGCTTAGAGGTGCGTCCTCAGAATAAATCATAAACATGCTTTATGAATAAATCATAAATGATGCTTGCCAAAAATCTTCCAGTCTTTGTACATTGCATGTGTCCCAGTGAAGACAAGGCAACACAATCAAATTATCACTTTAAGTTAGGAGAAAATACTATCCTTGAATTGTAAAGGCCTGAAATACTGTGCTGAACAGAACTACAAGATCAGAATTACTCGAGCTACTCGCATGTTCCTCTATACATTAGCATCTTTTACAGGCCGGAGTTCAGAATTTCAAAGGTAGATAACTGCTGTGTAATCTTTTGGCATTAGTAGGATTTGTCTCTCTTAAGCTGATTTTTTTTTTTTTTTTTTTTTAATTTCCTGAGGGGGGAAAAAAAAAAAAATAAACATGCCTGAATCTAACCAAACAGCAATTGTGAATTAAAGAATAAATGATAAAATAGCATAAATTCTGAAATGCCACAGCCTCAAAGCAGTGTGTATCCAATATTAAATCTGTTACCATATTTTAAAATATTTAAAATTATTCCAAGAGCTGCAACTAAAGCGAGGGTAACCTCTGAGAAAGTACCCAATGCAGTAAAATGAGAGTTGATAAGTGTTGTAGTGTGAGTTGATAAAATTGTGGTGTTGTATTTCTTCATTGTCAGCACAAATCCTTGTTTATTAAAAATTTAGCTTGAAGGAAACTTTAATTAATTACAAGTTCAGTAAATCCTGACTAGGATTCTGCTCTGGTGTGTTTACAGTGAATGGCCTTCATGTGCCTGTGTTTCACTTCTGTTCTCTCTGCTACCTGACAATGTGATTTATGGCTGTTGTTTTCTACTAGTCCACTGTTTGCCCTCTAGGAGGGATTGGTCTCTTGAGCCTCCATAATAACAGCAGCACTTTCACAAAACATCTTTTAATGACAACAGTGTAGCATTCTGTAAGTCAGGCTAATTGCAGACATACCCTATTAATTGCAAAAACTAGGAGAGGTTACATATTTTACAAGCTTTTAATTTGAAATCGCCCGAGATGATTTGTCTTAAGTGTTTGGGTAGAGATGTCTACAATATTCTATGATAGGCCATTGCTGAGACTCTAGGACACGGTTGCAGACTATGGGCAATGTACCAGGTAGAATTAAGCTTTGGATGTCCACATCTGCCTAGAAATCCTACTCTGTCTGTAATACAGATTGTTCTAAATATTACATATTCTTTGGAGAATCATGATGTCAACATTAAATTATGTGTCATGGTTTTATCAGGAGGTGATAATCAAAAAGTAGAAATTCCTGAACAGTTAAACACAGAAGAGCTTTTTGAGTCTTGGGGTATGTCTGAGCAAGAAATTTTACTATAATAATAAGAGATCGTGGACTTTACATTGGCTATGTTTGTTTCATCCAGAATTGCCTCCCAGCCCATCATCTTCTGTTTAAGTCTTGTAGATTTATATGTGGAGGATACATGCAAGAAAGAGGAGTCTTTATAGATTGTCCCAGCCCTACATAATTTACAGCTATAAAGGCTAGTAAAAACTTGGGGAAAGGATATAGCTTACAAGAGAAGCACAAAATTTGCAGATTAATAACAAATATATTAATCCTATTAATGAAAAGATTGGACAAAATTTAGGACTAACCAAATAGATTTTTGTGATTGTTTTTCAGTTTTTTCACTTGTTTAATTTTCCTCTAATGTTCTAGAGCTTGCATGCAGTACCCAAAGCTGGGATTGTGAGGTGAATATACAAGAACTTGAAGAAACTGGTTACTTAAATTTAATGCTTGCTTTTTCAGACATTGCCTTAAAAAAAAAAAAAACAAAAAAAAAAAACACCACTGTTTCCTTCTGACCAGGCTTCAGGTCAAATTCTGATCTAGTATGACACAATATTGAAGTGCTTCATTCTTTTACAGATGAGCTAAGAATCATATAATCAAAATCTTGCCTATACTTATTTTCTTTGCAAAGTAAATTATATATCTGCTTTTTCAAAATTTTTTGTATGTACCTTGGACAGCAAACCCGTAGTTCAGTAGGTCTGAGTTTTCTGTCTCACTGTTACTGACAACGTGCACTTTTTGCTTTTAGGTGAAACTAATTCGTGAAATTGCTTCATGCCATGGAATTTTAATTACGTCTTATTCATACATTCGACTGATGCAGGATAACATCCACAGCTATGACTGGCATTATGTGATTCTGGATGAGGGTCACAAAATCCGAAACCCAAATGCCGCAGTCACACTTGCATGCAAGCAGGTACTTTATGAAAAATAAATGAAGATTCTAAGTGCTCTGGGGGGAGGTTCCAAAATCTAATAGCCTGTATTACTTTATTATAAAAAATACACGTTTGACCATTAATAAAGCATAAAAACATAAATCACAATGGTCTGTATTTGACTATTTCATGTACTTAATATTTTTAATGAGTTTACATCAGTAAGTTTACAGAAATATGGTAGAGAAAAAAAATCAGAAATTTTAAATTGTGTAGTAATTTACCATTAGGGATAAATGTCAGATTGCTGGTGTTCATTTTATGCTAACAGCTTATGGACAATATATTGTAGAAAGCTGTTTATTTCATGAATATGAGGCCACATATTTTTAAATGAGAATTCATTGATTAATTGAATATCCTCTGAGGCAGGTTACACCATGAACCATGAAAATAACTTTCTTTTGGTTTTGTGTTCTTTATTAATAGTTCCGCACACCCCATCGAATCATCTTGTCTGGCTCCCCTATGCAAAATAACCTAAAGGAGCTCTGGTCCCTCTTTGACTTTGTATTCCCAGGGAAATTGGGAACACTACCTGTGTTCATGGAGCAATTTTCTGTTCCAATAACCATGGGAGGATATTCCAATGCCTCTCCTGTCCAGGTAAATGCATCAAAAATATCACTTTCCTTGAAGGAAACTTATGTTGTTTCTAAACTGACTTTTAAGTGTACTTCATGCTGTATGTTCTAGAGAGTAACCCAAAAGAGTTGCATGTGTGTTTTACTGCTGCATTTGTGAATAGAACTGTTCAACTAAATGCGACCATTTCATTTATACAGGGGTATAGCTTATACACAAGGTTTTCTTGTCAAAAGCCCTAACGTTTAAATCATTAGAAGTATTCTTTGATATAAAATAAAGATAAGCAAATTGGGGTGGGAGGTGACTGATCTCGTAGTTTGATGTCTTTAAATAGAACTTTCCTGTTTGATATCAAGCTTTGGCAAATTATGCAATAGAGGAATCCTTAAATCCAAACTGAAAAGTGTTTTCATTTTAAAAAAGCTAAAGTAGGTATTGGAAGTCTGAAAGTAGATAAACTGTTTAATTTTGAAAGCAAAGATCATTTGGAATATTATTCTGAGTAAGTATGTCTATTAATCTTTGTAGTTGTGGCTCTCAGTATTTATGACTTCTTCAACATTTTTCAAATTAGCTGATAGATAAATTGTCTGCATAATAATCTGCAGATTAAGTTTCATGTAAATGCTAATAAACTTGTATCCCTTCAAATATTCTTTGTAATGTTTTGCACACATACATTTCTAAAGTTTTATTTTCTTTTTGAGTTTAAGTACTTCCCCTGTCTAAAGCTTAGTAATTTACTAAATTGGGTAGCCAATTTGTTTTTTACATATCAATAATTTATTATATTCTTTGTTTTGCTTTAAGAGAAATGAAGGTATTTTTAGCCATTATGTACAGTTAATACCCATCTCACACATCCATTACCCATTATAGAACCATATGCTCCATTTAAGGCCAGAGTGACCTTTAGTTTCTGTGATCATGAGGATTTTCTTGTACCGATTTTTTTAATAGTCTCAAGCGGGCACTAATCTTCACGTATTGTCTAATAACCACCCTTGCTGCAGGCTTCTTTTTTGATCTTCAGTATATGTATTAGCAGTTTTTCATGAGGATTTTGGTTCTGTGCAAGTTTATACTCACTTCTTGGATTGGTTTCTAAAAGAAATATCTCATTTCTGGTCTCTTTTAAAGTCCACTAAATTAAAGATAAATTAGGAAAGATAAATTAGTGGTGTCTGAGGAAGACTTACTTATTCAATGTTATTGTTGCTAACATGAATTTTATTGCAATTCTTGTTGTGTTGAAAATGTAAGTGTAGCTCCACATAAATCATAAACCATCTCGTTAGGATTTTCCTATTACTCGTTATGGAATTTTGCTTGTTGCTAAAATTAGTATCAAGAACCAAAATAGAACTCTTGCTTTTTCTTCCTTTTTCAGGTAAAAACTGCATACAAATGTGCCTGTGTGTTACGGGACACCATAAACCCCTACTTGCTGCGAAGAATGAAGGCTGATGTAAAAATGAGCCTTTCACTTCCAGATAAAAATGAACAGGTTTGCTTATTTTTACTATTAGATCTGAGCCCTCTCCCTCCCCAAAATCCCATCTTTCATGGATGTTTGAAAATAATTTGTGCTAATAGCAGATTAAATGTTGTTTTAACTAAAGATAAGACATAGAGCTTTCAAGTTGCATATTCTTTTCACCTGTGTTGTGAGTATTAAATGATCGTGGTCTTGCAGGGTCTATACAAGTAAACTCTTATCTGAAAAACAAAGGATATATGAAGTGTAGTCAGGTCTGCTTAATACTGTCCTGCTAGGTCACAGGTGCATACAAATGAGCATCTGTGAGGTGTTTCCCATGGTGCATCTCTTGGACACTTTAACATTGTTTCCTGCTGTAAAAAGCTTAATTTGGGCAGCAAATAGTAGAGGAATACTTGATGGCATTTGTTCATATTGCAAGCTAGCTGGGCCTGTACGTTCTAATAAATTTCCAAATAGTAGCTTTTTGATCTAAAACTTCTTTGCTCTACAAAGAGGTGGAATATTTTTTTAGGAAACATTTTGATTCAAAGTAGAGGAGGTTAAAAGGATTAATTAAACAACTGAAATTCCTACAAATACTCATTTGTAGGAATTATTAGATTCTTCTGCCACCCAGGTTTCAGTGCTTCAGGTTTTCTTGTCCTCTCCTTACTCTTTTCCTTCCTGTCTCCTCCCTCTAAAAGAGAAGTAGATGTGCTAGTCTTTGTAAGACAGTCCCGAAAGGTACGTAATAAATGAGTAGGCCATACTCAGTTTCTGCTGTTCAGTCTAATGATCTTTTTTTTTCATTAGCTTTTGAATTTCTATATAGAGAGTCTGGACTACTTACTCTAAAGAATGCAATCATAAACAGATTAAAAAAATTTTTGTTCTTGTCAGTCATAGGGCGCTACATAAGTTTGACTTATGGCATAATGTTGGGTGCCTAGCAGGATGCGACGAAGTGATTTTGTTCTGTTTTAGCCCATCAGACCATCTGAAAAATCATTACATGCTCACACTCAAGGGCTAATGACAGAACAGATTATGTGTGCTAACCTTCCCATGAGGTACTAAGGATTTGCAAGTTGTAAGGAACATAACAGACACACAATGGAAAGTGTTTCCTATAAACGTAGCTTTGAGAGAATGCTAACATTGAACAGTTACCTCATTAAAACTGGAAAATAGCAGCACTTCCAAAACTGAAGCAGTTTGAGGGGAAAAAATAACTGGGAAAGGGCACAGAAAAACTCATTAAACCCATCTTAATGATCATGTTCATTCTCTAAGAATTCTATTTTTTTTTATTTATTTATTTCTAATGATTTCTATGCAGCATCTTTTTAACTTAGTATTTCAGTATGTCAGACATCTGTGAAGCTTCATTGTAGTGCATTGTAAAACTTTAAAATTCACTCTATTTGGAGTTTACAGATTGGGCTTGAGTGGTTCGTTTGTTTGTTTTGGTAGGTCCTCTTTTGCCGTTTGACAGATGAGCAGCGTCAAGTTTATCAAAATTTCATCAACTCTAAAGAAGTTTACGAGATTCTCAATGGAGACATGCAGGTTGGCATTAATTAAGGTTAATGACAGGTAGAGTTTGATGGATAAAGTCATAGACTGACCTTCGCATTCTAGCTGGATTCTGCGCAGAAAGGGAAGCAAACACGCTGATCTCAGTTCTGCTTTTTGGATGTCTCCTTTTTTTTCTCAGAAATGTTCCATGGAATATGTAGAGTTAGTGATCCATATGTAGTGGCATGACAAGGTAAAAGTAGGAATGGAACGGGCTTCGCAATCTTTGTGATCTTGGGAACAAATTATGGCTTGTTGGATGACCTGCTTTAGGTAACTGTATGTGTGCTTTTAACCAATTGCAAAAGCAAAGCAAAGAAAAAGAGTAATTTGTCCTGAGAGTACGGTTCAGGTATGATAACTTTGTGAGGCAACAGTTGATGATTTCATAGTTTTAACATATAGCAGAGCAAATAGCAAGCATCCTTGTTATTGTCTTACTAGTCACTTCAGTATCTTTTGCCTCCATCCTCATGACATAAGTGTTGAAATTGCTGTGGCCAGGGTGTCAGCAGTAATTGAAATACAGTTTCAAATGCCTGCTGTTGCCTGCGTAAAAAGTCTGCTATTCCCTGTGACTCCTACGTTGCACACATCTGGTCCGTTTGACTTCTGTATGCATGCAGTGGACGTTTTTCAGTCCCATTTTAGCTGCAGGATACAGATCTATTGTTCGTAAGAGGAGAAGTAATGTGTCTTGGCTATAATGTGTAATTTACCACGTTTTCTTGTCTTGCAAAGTGTGAAATTCCTTCTCCCCTCACCCCCAGTGGCTCCCGTTAGTTGTATGGTCAGTACAGCCATGTATATTGCAGTGCCATACAAAGCAGATGTTGACCTTATCACTGTTTTGACTTCTTTATTTTTCCAGATCTCACAAAGGTATAGTGGCCAAGTTTTTTCAAGTGCCTAGCCTTTTTAGTTATCCCAATGAAAATTATTTTAATGATCTTGTACAAGACTATCTGCAGAAATTTCTCAAAGATGTTACAGAATGGGCTATCATATTTGCTAGAGTTCTGAAAATTTTGAACAGTAAATGTCAATGCTTTTACTAGATGTTTTGTGTTGACAGCCGTGAATCCCAGCTGAAAAACAAAAACCCCATTGTACAAACAAACCATAAATTATGAGCAGGCTCATCCAACTTGTAGTGCCAGAAGATTGAGATATTGGCTGTTTCAAGCTAGTTCATTTTTATGAGTGCCCATTATATCAGAAGAATAAATAACACTTGTAACATTATTGAATAAATAACTGAACAGAATCCTTCTAACATAGCATCAAAAGTGGTAATTTTCAGCTTGATATGTTTGCTCAAATATGTTTGCTCATCTGTTCTTTGCTACCATGCATTCTGGTATCCTCAAGGTCTGTCTTAAGTTACCTGCTAGCATGGCGGGGCTTGGAAGGAAGGACACAATAATTTAAAGTAAAAAACCTGGTGGAATTTTTCCTTTTGAGTAGGAAAAATTTGACTGAGTTACAGCTACAGACTGCTTTTGCTAATGTGGAAATTGTTGCAGAATTCTCTTAAAATTGTCACCAGAATAGGCTCACAAGAACATAAAATTTCATTCATTCATTGACCTTCTCTTGTACTGATTTTTTCCAAAAACTTCCATGAAACAAGTATTAGCATCCATTGGCTTCTCTAAAGAGCAAACCACTATTAAAAACAAACTTCTTGATGATGACTGGATTAATCCATTGCTGTTTATTTTTCTCAACCACAACCTATATAGATACAAGTATTTGTCAAGAAAATAAAAATATTTTTCTCCTGTATTCTTTAGATTTTCTCAGGACTAGTTGCTTTGAGAAAGATTTGCAACCATCCTGACCTCTTCTCTGGTGGTCCCAGGATTTTGAAGGATGTACCTGATGCTGAAGTGGAGGAAGCAGATCAGTTTGGATATTGGAAACGTTCTGGAAAAATGATAGTGGTAGAATCCTTGCTGAAAATATGGCACAAGCAGGGTCACAGAGTGTTGTTTTTTACTCAGTCAAGACAGGTAAGATGAGCTAATCGGTTTTAGTTTTAGTTATTACTAAAACTAAAAAAGTGCATGTGTGTGTCCCAACAAGGCTTGTAATTAGAACCACCTTTTGCAGTGCCCTTCTCAGAAAATTAACAACTTGTTGAAAAAAAAAAAAATACTAAAATGACTAATGTCTTTGGAATAATTGGAGACCAGTTCCCAAGCTCAGTAAGCTTTACTGGAATGACACAGTGTTGTGGCAGTGTTGCCCAAATTAAATATACTGCATCAAAGCTTGTATCAGTTGTACCCATATAATACCAGGCTGAAGCAGGGGTGATGTATTTATTGTCCCTACTGTGTAGTTTTGGCATAGAATTTGTAGTCAGTTTGCTTGCTCTGTTTAGTGCATGTGCACATCTAATCCTCAGAATTGTGTGCTACAGTGACCTTCATTTGTTTTACCTATGTGTTCATGATTTTGTCTTGCTTCTGTGGATTCCCTTGGAATGCCGCTCCATTTACCTGGTTAACTGTCTTGGGACTATGGCTCTGGACTTCCCAAACCAAGCACAAACATTCCACTCATGCATTCAGCAGTGAAATAACTACGCCCCTCCTCCCCCCAGTTATGTAAGATAATGAATTTTCTGCTCATTTAAGGTTCACAAGTTTTTGGTCGTCATCTTGTTTGTTTGATTGGCACTGCAGTTAGTACCAGAAATTCTTAGGACTTGATCAGACAGTTGCTCAGTCTTCACATCTGGATTTCATTAAAATTTTTCCATCACAACAGATGCTGCAGATACTTGAAGTCTTTGTGAGAGACAGAAACTATTCCTACCTCAGGATGGATGGCACCACAACAATAGCTTCCAGACAGCCCCTTATAACAAGATATAATGAGGTGAGATGTTGCGTCCCACACACTGATGCCTGTTAGTGAGTATGGTTGAGTTCTTACATTCCTTTTTGGTCTGTTTTTAAAAACGCTGCTTCAGGTTTGAGACACAAAACTGGGGAGTTCAGTCAAATGAAACCTCTTTCTTTGTGAGAGCAGAAAAAAAGTCATCACTTTTTTCACACTTAAGTTGGGTTTTCTGCTAAGGAAAAAAACGCAGTTGAAAAGGGGGAAAAGAAATTTTATCGGACAACAGTAAATGAAATTTAGATCACACTACTTTTATTTGTCAAAAGAGATATTAGGCAAAGAAATGTATTCCTTCTCTTGGCTCCCTTTGCATCTTTCCAAATAATGCTGATAACAAAGGAATCCAGGAAATAAAAAAAAAATATCTTGTACTGTGGTAATTCTTGCTTTAGTAAATTCTCTCTTGTGTTATAGGACAAATCCATATTTATTTTTCTTCTAACAACTCGTGTTGGTGGCATTGGAGTTAACTTGACTGGTGCTGACCGGGTTATTATTTACGATCCTGACTGGAATCCCAGTACAGACACACAGGTGACTTTAGTTCATTACATTCCATTTACCAGCTAAGCTGAAATAAAACTCAAGATGGAATGACATTTATCTCCTCAAATAGTGTTAAAGCACTATGTTGCTCTTCCCTAAGTTGCTGTTTCCAGCAATGGTCGCTTAGGGTGCAGTTCCACATTATGATTACTCTTGTGGCAAAGCCAATTTAAGTGGTTCCCACCACATCCCCTTTATGCTGTTATACCTTACCACTCTTCAATATTGTGGATTCATGTAGTCTGTTTAGTGTAGCCAAACAAACAGTTGAAATGCTCTGGTTTTTTTTAAATAAATAAACAAACAAACTAGATGTTTCTGAAGGGAGAGTACAGCTGTGCAAGCTCTTGAACAGGCATGACTGTTCATGGTGGCAATGCAGGGTAAGAAAAAGAGAACAAGTGTTGCTTAAATTGGCTTTGTCACTAAATAATGATATATAGCTATGCCCTTAGAAGTTGCTGTTAAGCCAATACCGTAAAGAAGTTGTTCTTTATCTGGTGGTGTGATGACTCTGGTTTATCAGATCCCTTAACAGTATATGGGGCTTACAAGTTTGAGAGGAAAAAATTATTTTTGATGGCAATCCTACATAGCTCTGAGATCTGCAGGTGTGTAGTCTGACCTAGAGTGGTCTGTTTTAGTGGTTTGTTCATTTGTAGGAAAGCTTTCAGTTAAGAAAAAGAAGAAAAGTTCAAAGGAAATGTGTATATTAAAGCTCTATTGTGAAATAGATCCCTTTTGGAATAAGTCTATATAAAGTACGTATCCTAGATACGAGCTCTAATTTTTACATAATTTATTTTTTGCATAGATTTCTTGGTACAATTGAAGACTTGTCTTTTTACGTGTGTAAACGTTCTAAATTGTTTTCCTCTCCTGCTGAGTTAGTTGTCCTAATGCTGTAGAAATACCATGGCTATGTAACTTCCCGAACTATTTGTTAAATGTCCAAACTAGGTTTGAAACAGTGGTATCAATAGCTCTCTGTCAAACACATGTCTAACAGGTTAATGTCTGGTAACCAAATCTTTTGTGTTTCAGGCTCGGGAACGTGCTTGGAGAATAGGCCAAAAGAAACAGGTGACTGTGTATAGGCTTCTCACTGCAGGTACTATTGAAGAGAAGATATACCACAGGTCAGTCAGAACAATTCCTTGGATACAGCCATATGCTAAAGAAAACGTTTGTAGCGAATCTGAGGTGGTGTAATAGTGATGTACCTTTGCATGTGCACACATGGCTTGTAACCCCCAACCTTGGTCATGATGGGCATGTCATGGAAAACTTTTAAAAATTTCTGCTGAGAAATGGGCCGCCTTCTAATATTAGACTCCCAGCTGCAGGCCTGTGCTGCTGCCTCTCTAGCTCCAAGACCCACATGCTAAATATACCTCATCAATCTGTTCCAGCAGCTGTGTCCAGCACATCCAGAATTCACTGTAAATGAGAGAGTATGAGGCATAAACAGGAAAAAATGAGCCCCTTACTCAGAACATGAGACTCAACAAGTCTGAAATGCAAATTGAAATCAACAAGTTCTTTATATTGTCCTTAGGATATATAAACATACATGTGGGACATACATCCATTTACTACTCTGCAAACCCAATTTGATTTTATTCCCAAATCATTCCAAAGTGGGAGAATTAAATCCCAAGAACCACCAGTCATATTCACATTATTTATTCCAAAATGTAGCTAAAGGCTTAAAGTGCTTGTATTTTGAAGTCAATGAAATATTTTTGGTTTGCTTTCCCATTCAGCTTTCTCAGTAGTTAGCTTCACTCACGTGAATTCCAAATGAACGTACATGGGAATCCTCTGTCTAGGCATTACACTTTGGAACTGGAATATCCTCTTTGAAAATGCAGATGAATGAAAAGCTCTAAATAATGAAATAGCGGCACTTATTGAGTGCCTTTTTTAATCTGTTTTACCACATGGACACAAAGCATCCGCTGTTGGTTGGCTTGCGTCCCTCTGGCATACTTCTGTTTGAACAACACTGACCACATCAAGGAAGTGGGCTGTAAGGGTCAGGACAGCCATCAGAAGTTAATTTATTTCCAGAACAGTGCAATGGACTTCAAACTTTAAACAAGTTGTCTTTTCTCTTTGTCTGTGTTTTCTTCCCTGCAAATATGTGATCATCCTTGCAGGAAGCTATGAAGCTCAGTTAATTCTTAAAAACTTTGAAGTCTTCTGGTGGGTGTACTACAGTAGCTGGCACCTCTGTTTAGACTTAATTTTTGCCAATTGGATTTAAAAATAGTTTCCCTGCTTAATGCCAGCGGAGCCAAAACCATGATAAAAAACACTTCTTGAGAACTGATTTCCAGCCTTATTTAGGGATATATTTTTTGTACAGGTAAATAGTGCCTAGAACTTCCAATCAAAAGCTATGTAATACAAACATGGCATAGAAGTAGATTTACCAATACTAGACTTTTTGCAGCTTAGTTCTCGCCCAAACTTGTTCCTTTCAGTCCTCTGCAGATGGGCTCTTTTTCCCTTCCTCTGAACCACAAGTCTGGTTTACCTTTTCAGTGATTGTCATCCAGTCATCACCATCAGACTGAGCTACTCTGCTGCTTTTGATTCCTCCAACCAATCGAACCATTAAAATGTTGTCATTTTAACAAGATCTTGTTTTTTCTTTCAGGAGCTTTCTGATAGTTTTATTGTAATATATGCAAGTTTTTCAATTTTAATGGACAAAAAAATTCTAGCTGTAAAGTTATTTATTGCTTAGTTAAGAGATGCCTCATAGGACATTTCAGGATGGTGGTTACCTGTTGTGTTATGGGGTTGTTGCAAAACAATAAATCCCTGTGTTTAACAATTTAGTTGGCTGTTTGAAAGTTACTAACTCAAGATTGTCTTTTGGAAACTAACATCATCTTCCAACTGCTTAATTGTTCTGCAGGGTAACGTTTGTGCTTATACAGTTTTCTCTTTAAGTACTTTATTCAGTACTTAAACATAGCTAGACATTGTTTCATGCACAAAGTACTTTTTTTATTTTTTAGACAAATCTTCAAACAGTTTTTAACGAACAGAGTGCTGAAAGACCCTAAGCAGAGGCGCTTTTTCAAATCCAATGACCTTTGTGAACTTTTTACTCTGAGCAGCCCAGATGTGTCTCAGGGTACAGAAACAAGTGCAATTTTTGCAGGTACACATTTTTTAATATTTGTTTAAAAGAAAAAGTGTTTGAAGTGTTTGATAAATGGATCCTAATTTCATTCATCCTTCAGGTACTGGTTCAGATGTTCAAGTCCCAAAACACCAATTGAAACGGAAACTTGAAAAGCCACCTGATGACATATCTAAAGGTGATCTCCATCTTACAGAAAGCAGCTCACCAAAGTACAGCAAGCCATCGAATTCCTACCCAACCACCCACATGACAAATTCTTCTTCTAAAACAACAGAGACAAGTGAGGAAACCAAAGGAAATTTGGAAGCCTTTGACCAAAATAGCTATGCAAAAGAGAATGCACAAGCTGCTACTAATATAAATTCATTAAATAAAAGCAAGGAGGAAAGCTTGGAAAGAGCTGACAAATCTACGTCCCAGTCATTGCCAGGTGATGCAGGGTCTTCAGAGAATGCCAAATGTCTGAACGCCATGGTGGCTGATGAAGTATGTGGAGCTGCTAATGCAAATGTCAAGGGAGATTTTAGCCTTACATGTGGTGCGGCTGGCTCTTGGGAAAAGCAGGTTGCTAAAACTGAAGATGAACACTTAGGTAATAATCATTATAAATGTACCTCAAAAACAAAGCACAGGGTGGATGTGCTGTCACATGAAAGCCACAAGGATAAGTCTAAGAAGAAACATCACAAAGATGCCAAATTTGAAGGAGAGCGCATTCCTCATCTCGTAAAACAAAAGCGATACAGAAGGGAGAACAGTGAAGAGAAGGAGGAAGACTCAAAGAAAAATGACGATTATGTCTTGGAGAAACTTTTCAAAAAATCAGGTAACAATTGCTATTTGGCTGCTCAACAGTGTCAGATTATTTAAAGAGAGGTATATAAAACTCACACAAGTGAGGGAAGGAGCAGTTCTGTTACTCTGATGGTTAGAGCTACAATACAAAACATGTTTTATCTATTCTGTTACTGTAGTGAAACATGAAAGTGTTCATTGTTGAAATGCTCCGGTTATGAATGTGCTAATTACCTTGGCACAACCGTTTCAGAGAGATCTGCAGCCTTCCAGAAACACTTCTGGATATAGAAGTAATGCACTGTTTCTTCTGGAAATAAGGATGTAACCAACCTTCATTTACACAAGGGTTTCACTTCTGTCTGTCCTGTCCATAACAATAGAAATGATCGATTTACCCACATAATTGCCAAGTCTGTTGTGAATAATGACCTCATCAGCACACCAGAAGTGGTTTGCTGTCAAATTGATTGCTTAACTGATAGAAGGGGATTCTCTTATTAGAAATTACTATACTGAAGTGCTGAATATAATCAACCTGAAAAAGGAAAAATGTGATTGTGGCATTCACTTAAATGGTGAATATTTAATTTTACAGATAACCATGTAAGTTAACAGATGTCCTCCTTCACCTTTTCTTGTATCTTATGTTTTTTAGGGGTACACAGTGTTATGAAGCATGATGCCATTATGGAAGCTTCCAGTGCAGATCATGTGCTGGTAGAAGCAGAAGCAAACAGAGTGGCCCAGGATGCCTTAAGAGCCTTAAAAGTCTCTCGACAGCGATGTTTAGGAGCTGCTTCTGGTGTGCCAACCTGGACAGGGATGAGTGGTCTTTCAGGTGCACCATCAGCAATAAAGTAAGTTCAGTTCTCACACTGCTTTTCCAAAAATAGAAGAGTTCCTTAGGATGCTATGTATTTATCTTTTTTTTTTTGCACTTGGTATTTGCAGTAACATGCGTCAAAGTGGAGTTTCATGTTTTATATTTAATAAAGACATGAAGGCATACTACAAGCCTAGGAAGTCCATTCTGAAGTACAAAGAAGGCATTATTGTTGCACAGTAGAGGAGAGAGTTTGGCAGAGGACTCTTGAGAACCCTAAAATGCAAACCCAGTCAGTGTCTTTGGCAAAACTATCCTAATCATTTTGAAAAAGATGTTTTATGGAGTTAATTCTTTTATGGGTTTTTAGGAGTCGGTTTGGTCAAAAAAGAAACCCCACGCTCCTTTCTTCACATTCCACTTGTGCATCACCTGCGAAGAAGTGCAAGGTAAGAGAGACAAGCTAACATTTCTCTTTTAATAGCTGATATATGTGAAATATTCTGATTTATGCAACAAATCTGATTTATACTGTAGATGTCTCATATCCATTTATTGTATGATTATGTAGAATTCTAGAATTTTTAGTCACCCATGAATTTGATTTTTCATGTTTTGATATAGCATCTTGATGAAGTTTAATTAGATACATCAGTCACAAATGGCAACATGGTCTGGTTATCTGTCTCAAGACCAGCAATGCTTTTCTTCCCCTTACTAAGTTCTAAAGTTGAGACCAGAATATATTGCCTCTTTATTGTGTATTTCAGATGACTAGCTTCTGAGTGTTTGTGTTTAAGTTAAATCAGCAGGCAGATTTTGTTTAACAGATTCTACGGATCTCAAAATGCAACTTTCTCTATAGTCTGTATGTTTATTTGCAGGATGCAGATACAATAAAGAAAGAAAACTTGAAGAAGTGTAATTCCAACGGGCACTTTGATGGAAAATCTGGAGAATCATCATCCAGTGCACTAGACTCTTCATCTTTATTAGCTAAGATGAGGGCAAGAAACCACCTTATTTTACCGCAACAGACAGGGAATGAGGGAGATGAGAATCATCAGCAAGCACCTGCCCCAGCCCCAGGTCCAACAGAATATGATGAACTGCTTGTGGATGTGCGTAACTTCATAGCGTTTCAGGCCCGCATGGACGGCGAAGCTAGCACTCAGGAAATACTGCAAGAATTTGAGTCCAAACTGCCTGTGGCTCAGTCCTGCGTCTTTAGAGAACTTCTCCGCAATCTCTGCACCTTCCATAGGAGCCCAAATGGTGAAGGTGTCTGGAGGCTAAAGCCAGAATTCCGCTGACCTTTGTCAAGGGAAGGCACCTGTCTGTGTGCTCAGCCACCGCTCTCCTTTCAAGGACTTACTGTTTGTCATTTAAAATCAGGAATTATTTCATATTCATGATTTAATAATTGACTTGAGCAGTCAGTGGTGCAGCGCTTGTTGCAGGCTCAGAGCTAACTTAATTTCTGATTTACACTATTTATATGAAAGTGCCATCTACCTCATAGATGAAACAATACAAAATATCAGCACCTTTTCTTCAAAAGAAACCTTAATATAAATGGGATAAAGAACATGTACTGACTTTTTATTGCAATAAGAACCATGGATGTTGCCATGGGTTGTAAGACTTTTATTTGATTTCTGTGAAATTCCAAGAACTCTTCCTCAGTTTTCTGCGTGTTACTTGAATGGTCATGGGGCACACAATGTACCATAGGAAAAAAAAAAAAAAAATAGTGGTCAGCATGAGAGATTCACTTGTACCAACAAGTGCATCAAAATCATTGTATGACACTTTCATCAGTAGTGAGAATTTTGTTTTAATGTTGATGCTTCCATTGTTGCCAGCATCTAGCATACGCAGTGTAACTTACACCACTAATTGAATTGGGAAATAGGGCACAAAATTTCCAAAGGAAAAAAAAAAAAAAAAGATAGTGGTCAGCATGAGAGATTCACTTGTACCAACAAGTGCATCAAAATCATTGTATGACACTTTCATCAGTAGTGAGAATTTTGTTTTAATGTTGATGCTTTCATTGTTGCCAGCATCTAGCATACGCAGTGTAACTTACACCACTAATTGAATTGGGAAATAGTTCTGCTGCCACAGAGGTTTAATCACAAAAAATGGAAAGCCTGGCAGGATCTTGAGATGACTGACAGTTGATAATTATGGAAAACTTACTATATTACAGAAAACCCATTTACACCATAAGCATCGATTCGGTTACAGTGGCATACACCACTGGCAATTGCTTGGTACAATATTTCTTACCGCTGAGGTGACAGTAACTTGTTTGTCACAGGTTGTGGACTGATAATTGAAATCCCATGAAATGTTCATGGGTCTCGCTGTAATTTATATCAAAAACATTCCAGTTCCCTGTTAGCACTTGAAATTTTATACCTTGACAAAGACTGAGGTGTTAGTTGGTCAGAGGGGGAATGGTTTCACTGTATTTTACTAAACATAATCACTTTTTGCCAGAGACATAATTGGAGCATGTACAGAAGTTACAGGTCATACGTAGATAAGGAAAATCTCGGCCTTCCTGACAGTCAGACAAGTTCTAATACCCATTTTCTTCCAAGGAAGGAAGGATTGGATTATTTGTAGCAAACCTGAGTACTACGTTGGGTCTGTCTTCAAGGTACTAGTGTGCTACGTAAGGAAGTCTTAAGGGGGGAAAAATGGATAGATTTTGAGAAAACCACGTTCTTGCAGCAACATTAAATTACTGTATGGCTTAAACTGTATGGAACAGTTAAATATGCCTAATGTCCTTCCTATCCCTAAGCTATTAAGAAAAGGGAAAGCCGAGCTACTTCTAGTGTTTTGTTCAGTGTGAAAGTATCTTGTTTACTTCAAGTGAAAGTACAAATATTGAAAGATGAATGGTGAAGCAAGAATACAAACTGTTACTTTGTTCTTGTAAAGAAAGTCTTTATGACACTTCCAATGGCTTTTCCTCTTGTTTTTGCTCAGTGCTAAAGGATCTGTAGAGTTTTGCAAAAAGTGGTGGCATGCTGTTTCAATAACTGGTCAGTTGGCTTTTCGCAGACTGGACTTGGAGAGGGCGGACAGTCCAAGAATCTGTTGCTTTTCCTCGTGGCATTTGAAGGTGGGACTGTTGCACCTTTTTGTGGCATCTCTCTTTCTGATCCCATTTATATTCACTTACATTCCCTCTTTCAGGAGAAAGATGAATCCAAGAATCTAGGCTGCAGTTACAAAACACTTCAAACATTATAGATTTGTTGATATGACTTAAAAGGATCAGTAAAAGAGTAAAAAAAAAAAAAAAAAAAAAAAAAAAAAAAAAAAAAAAAAAAAAAAAAAAAAAAAAAAAAAAAAAAAAAAAAAAAAAAAAAAAAAAAAAAAAAATTTTGCTATTCTCTCCAAAGCTGTAGGGAATTTTAATTGGGCTTGGGTGTCGTGCCCCCACGCATCCCTGTGCCCCAAGAACAAACCAGGAATTCAGCTGTCAGCAAAGCGGCTGTTGACACCTTAGCTGTCAGTTCTGGTGTCCTGTTTTATTTACTATTCCAATCTTAAAGACATAGTTCCTGTACTAAGGAAAGTTTTCAGCGTCTCGCTGATGTGTTAATGTAAATGGACTTGCATGTGCTTTTTGTAAATCCTTGGCTTTTATGGACTTATTAAAAAAGAGAACCAAAAGTCTAAAAAAAAAAAAAAAAAAAAAAATTTTGCTATCATTTCTTTATTTGGGTCTCAATTCATGCTACCTTTGTGCTTTACGCAGGATGCATCCGGCACGTTAAGCTTTCTGTCCCACGCCATTTATTTTACTTCAATTATCTGGAGAAAATATTAACTTTTAATAGGATTCCTCCCCCCCCCCTTAACTTTCTTGCTAATTGAGCCGGCGCGGCATCGCCCAGGTTCACCGTTATTTTTTTTTAAATGCTTATTAATAAGAGCTGCACCCTGAAGCATAACTTTAGGGTTTATTCCCCATGGGGGAGCGGGGCCGGGGCCGCTGCAGCCCGGGCTTTAAGTACATTTCCATTTTTCATACAACTTCAAATTATGCATCCTAGCAACTAGATTTCTTTGCAGTGCTAGCTTGTGTTTAAAATGTTTAAAAGACTGAATGAATATTAGTATAATACTCAAAAAAAAATATTTTTAAGTATTTCATCTCAAAAGTGTATGTGATTAAAGGTTTCCAGGCTGATTTATAGGTAAAAGTTGTTCTGGACTATAATATAGCTGCTATACATTTTAAAGTAGAGGAGTTATTTCAGAATAATCCTACTTTTATTCCATAAAGCATTACCTGATTTTTTGGTTTTTTATCTTTACCTGTGTAAATTGAATTCCTTTCACCTCTTCAAGGAATATCTGAAACAATTCCTGATTAATGATATTGCATAGTCAAACATGTTTACCATTAAATAGCTTATAGGTACACAATATTTTTTTAAAAGCTTGTATTTTAGCCTTGTATACAGTTTCCAGGTATTCAGTGCTGCAGTTGGTAGCTGCTACTTTATTTGTGCATGATTCCAAAAATCACTCGCGTGGAATGCTTGTGGTTTTATAATTTGTTTTCTTACCTCAGTGAAAAGGGGATAAAGAATGATCAAAATACAGATGTTAATTTAGGAATCAAGTTGAAAAAAATCATTAAATCTCATTAAGGAAAGAAATTTCAGCATGAAACAATGAGTATAATCTTAAATTTTTTTTTTTTAAAAAAAAGGTATACCACAAGGAACCACTGAAAATTTCTTTCCTGTAAAGATGCTAAAAGCTGAGCACCATGCTACTCCAAAAATGTCATGCCAATGTAGATGATGTGACCTACTACCCATACAGCTCAGCAGACAAATGCAGTTGAACAAAAATCTAGAACGCTAAATAGCAAAAACTTGGATTGTTCTGTAAGTGGTTATGGGGGTTGTGCACACTGTGTGGGTAAAATGTGCTATACTGGTATTTTAACAACAGAAGTTAAAACTCTTACCATAATTGTTCCTTCTGGTTTCAAAACATATTTGTAAAGGGGGAGGTAAAAAAACCTCTTTGTTTTTTAAGATGTTTCCCCCATCCCGTCCTCCTTTTACATTCTTCCAGGTGTTTATTCTCCTGTGTTCATCCTTTTGCTGAACACTTAAGTCTTGTATAGCCAACCCACTCATCTCTGGTGTAAGAACTAAATTCTGACATAGAGAACAGAGATTCTGCTAAAGGTTGTAGACGTTTGACTCTTCTGAACAGTAATGACCTGCCACAAAACAAATGTTAGCAAGGTGCTGAATGGATAGATTGATAGAAACGGTGATTAAAAATGGAGAGGAGTATTTTTAAATCCACAACTTCATACTGTGGCTCAGCCTTTTCTCAAAGGCCTACGCCACGTGGAGAATTAAGTTTACTGCAGCTAATAAATGTTATCCTCCCATATAAAGCTGTAGAGAACTGGGCTTTTATATCTGTAAGTTTTGGCTTCAGATGATAGTCACCTATAGACAGTTGTACTCAAGTCACAAGATCAACTTTGCTTTTGATTCCAAGATTGCTAAACTTGGCTAATTTTGACTGTCTTCTAGTAGTGCAATTCTCTGCCTTTCAAGAAGCCACAACAGAAGGGACAAGACTTTCAAAAGGACTTAATGGGATTTTTGTTGTTCATAAAATCCTGCAGCGCTTCCCTTCTTTGAGCTACAGAGCCACTAGCCTTCATCAGAGCCAAAAAGTGTGTTATCTGGGATGCTGCACGTACATGATTGAAACAGCCACAGAATATTAGCCTTTCTCCAGTTTCTGTGTGCTTATTGATACTGCTGTATGGAAAGGACAATTAGACGTGAGTTGTGTTTCTGAAAAGGGTTAGCGTGTTGCACAGGTTTTTGGTTGATTTTCACAAAGAATGATCTTGTGGGCTCCATTTTTGGCTGAACTCCAGATACAGTTTGAGATGTGCTTTTCAAAAATCATGGTGATAGGTGGTGGCAATGATTTTTAGTAGCCATCTGAAGAGACCTTTGTGTCTTGACTCCCCAGTTAAGGTTATGTATGAAGTGCACTTGGTTATACTGATGTTAGTCTGCAATTGAATCAGGGCTTTTTTCCTCATCTACCAATTAACTCAGTTTGGTAGTGAATGAATACTGCCAGGACCTGTAATGCCCCTTCACTAGTAAGTAAGGAAAAAGCTCTTCACAGAGGGAGAGTGTTTTGCATTTGCTAAGGCTGAGCAGATACACAAAATCTGTTCAGTAAACGATACTACTGTGTAACAGTGTGAAAATGAGAGGGGAATCCTCATAACAGCGTTGGTGGGGAGGGATGGAATTTTCCAATAGATTTTCAAATGTTACACATTGAGATTTATCAAAAATAAAAAAAATATCCACATATAATGATATACCATACTTTCTCAGTGACAAAGATATCCACAGGCATCACTTAACTAGAAAAAGCAGTGTGAAAGTTATTGTTGCAGGATATATCCTTCAGGGAAAGCTGTCACAAGAAGCAGTAATTTAAGCAATTAATTTGACAAAACAGTCTTAGAGAAAACAGTAACTTGACTAATGTTCTTCCAAAAGGGTAACACTTTTCTCCAACATAAAATAATTTTATTTTTAAAAGAAGGAACTGGGTAGATGAATAATTAAATTGGTGGAATAATACCTGACTTTGCATTGGTTTTGCATACTGTGTCAAATCTAGTAATAACAGTTTAAGTAGTTTTTGCTCTTGGAGGGAGGAGGTGTTGAGGAACAGCCGTATCTCAGTGGTTCAGCAAGGAAGGACGATGCAGTGTTTCTTGTGCTGGTGGTGGCTGTGCTTTCTCAAATGATAAATAAAGATGATTAAAGGATTAGATGTGAAGAGACCCTGTAGCAGCTTTATCCAAACTTGGCTTACTCCCAATATATGGGCCAAGAAATTACTTAAACCATGAGGAAAAATTAGGAAGGAATTAAGTTAGGTAGCATAGTCGCTGAGGTGGTTTAAAATGTGGAGTAATCTACCTGTTTGGTCTTCTCGGAGCAGGGAGATCTGGATTCTTCTGCTATAAACCTCTGGGTAACTTTGGATGCAGTACTATACTGCCTGCTGCATTGGTTTCCCTATCGGATGGATGCAGTCTTTCAGGGAAGGCAAGGAATCTTTCAAGTCCTTTGGAAATGCTTCAGGAAATGATAGCACAGTACAAAGAAGTCCTGGTTGGAAAAACAGAGGTAATATGGCATCTTATTGTCTAGATCATTAATTCAGAAACTGTAGTTTACACAAAACTATCATACAAAATTGCTGAGAGTCCAGTTTTGAAGGGCTTGAGTAGGGTACATGTCTTGGAGTCAGGATGTGCTGGCAAGTCTGCACTTGGGAGTTTATCTCCTCTGGGAGAGGTATTTATATATTAGATACATGGTAAAAACACTCTCTGCTACTTAGGGCCATTTATAATTTCCCTGTTCCAACATTCAAGCTAAATGCTGAATATACACTTACTAACTCAGTGACTCTCTCCATCTACCCAGCCCTCAAGGGATTGCTATTCCAGGCTCTGGGGTGACGTCAACAGTCCTCCTTCACATGATATCGCTGATGATACAGTCCTGTTCCTTCCGCTGAGACTTCGAAGAGGAAGCTTTCCTTAGTAATTCTTAACTTTTGTTGGTGACCCTGGTTTTGCTGCCTCTACTATCATTAAAAGTAAAGAGAAGTCTGACATCGTTCACGCAAGGGTCATTCCTCTTTTCTTTTTTAAATGGGTCTAAGACAGCTGCTACGAAGTGAGTGAAATACCTTGTGTTCTTGCTCCCTGCCTGCAAAAGCCACAGTGAAGACTGCAGTGCATCATTGCTGTGTTCAGGGAGCAGAAAACTACTTTTTTTTTCCCCAGAACGAAGAGATTTGTTGAGTCACTAAACTAAGAACTACAGAACCTGCACAGAGCGTGTACAGAGAAGTGTCAGGCAGCTGTGTCGAGAAAGCAGCAACTTCCAGCCTGCGCTGTCCACTTGTTTCTTATTGTTTGTGCTAACATGAAATTAATGGGAAAAGGGAGAAAATATTCTGAGCTGAACTCTTCATTTCTGAATAGCAGAGCTGGACTTGCATTCAAGTCCAAACTTGCTAAGGTTCTGCAATACCCAATGAAGGCTCTCAAGTAAATTTTGCTCTGCCCACTATTGATATCATGTGACAACCATGCTTTTTCAATATTGCTGTCCCATATTAATTATAATGGCATCAAAGATGATGCGGCAGGCCACATAATAAATCCCACTGTTCTTACCAATAAGCTATACCTGAAAGCCAGAGGATTTTGAACTCTTCAGACCCTCCAAGCTGTTTATCCAGTCATTTGAGAGAGGGAGAAGGAAAAGCAATGCCAACGCTGAACTCTTTAAAGAATCCACCTAAAATTTTAAGTTGTTAACTATCTATTATAGTTCCCTACAGATTCCCTGCTTTTCCTCGGCTCCCAAAGCCACACTGCTCACAACATGTAAGTTGAGAGAACCTATTTTTATTGTACAGAACCGGGAGGTTGAAGCCTTGCACTAATTGCAAACCAGTACGTAGTATCATCAGTGGAGCCATGACCAACTCCTGCATAAGGCTTACATAAGTGGTGAGTCATACAGTCTTACGAAAGAATAGGGAGCGAGGCTTTCATTATGTTGTTTGCCTAATCAGAAATATGAAAATAAAAGAACACAGCACTCAGTGGGTTACGTTTGGCTAACTGTAGGCTGGAATTTCTGCAGTTGCACTACTATGATTGAGGCATTTCGTTGTTTGTGGTCCCAGCTTATATTAAACAGAGAGGATTTTGTCATAAATCTTTGCCTCTGGGGCAGAGTTAAGGTTGTTTGGGAACCCTAGCTATGTGTTTCCAGACATTAATGTCTGGAAGCAGCACCATGAGAGTAAAAATGAAGGTATATGCCTAGGGAGGATACTAGGAGTAAATGAAGAGGCCCAAGGGCAGGGTAGGGTTTGTGAGGATAAGCATGTGAAGAAGCACTGGAGTAGAAGCAAAGCTTTTAGAATGACTGAAAAACAGTCTAGCGATGATTTCTCACATCTTACTAGTCTCTTTCCATGCTCTCAGGCAGGTAGTTGAATGGATATTACTTTATGCAGCACTGGTATTAGCCATGAGCTGAAATACCTACAGCCCTTAGAAGACAACCGGAGAGTTTTGAGGATCAAAGTTGGCTGTAGCTTTATATGCAGCAACAGTGCTCTTTACACAGGTCTGATTAACCTATCACTGCTTCTCATTTTCTTCCATCAGTCCTCTGCACCTCATGTGGCAAAGTGGACCAGCAAGCTTGTGTCCTGGTGAAAAAAACACAGCAATAGTAACTACCCAAACTTTTTTCCGAACATGTGGCTACAATAGCTGAAGGCTGGAATGAGTGACAGTAGGAGGGAGTCTGGAGCTGAAGAGCTGCATGGCCAAGCACCCTAGGAACTTCAGCTTTACAGCAGCAAAAGGTGAGTGCTTCCTGTATCAGAGCCATTTGAACAATCCAGATTAAACCTTTTTTCTTCAAATGGCTAATTTGGGAGTGTGTGGAGCTGTAGCCTCTTTGTCACCACCTCATTCCACTATGGGCCCACATACTTGCTCAGTGGAAGTACTCCTGTCTAACATAGCATGCCTAAGCAGAGGAGCCAGAGAACATTTCTTCCTGCTCCATAACCTACCTCCCTTTGCTTTCCTGCCTGGAAAGGCAACATGGGGCCGTGTGGCACAAGCTGAACAGGGAGTGCTGCATGAACCCTCAGGAATGTAGAATTGCTTCTCAGTAAGTTGCCAGGCTGCCTTAAAAAGGACTAGTATGCAGGATGCTTAGCGTTTGGGTTCAGGTTTTTTTGGTGGGGTGGGGAAGTGGAACTCCATCAACCAAAGTGGGGAAAAAAGGCAAATTATTGAAAGCTGGTTCAGTTTGGGAATTATTTAAGCCTTAAAATAGCTTTTCAGAATGCGTATGCCTCCCCCCACCCCTAATTACTTTGAAGCTTGGCTGCTCTTGCTCCACTGCAATAGCAGAAACCCGGACTCTGCCCCTAAACCCCACCCCGGGCAGCTGTAGAGCCCGGGTTAGAGACTTGGGCCAGCGCAGGCTCCCTGCTGCCGCCCGGCCGAGCCCGGCCGGCTGCCCGGGCTCGCACCCGGGGGAGCTCGGTGGGCTGCGAAGCTGGGAGAGGCCGAGGCTCATGCTCATTTTCAAGTCTACGTTTTATTGCTGTGGCAATGGCAGGCAACAGCACCTGGCATCAGCAATGCACAAATCAAAGCCTTTTTTTTTAAAAAAAAAAAAAAAAAAAA